GACAGAGGGGGGGTCTGGTGGTGGAGGGAGAGATGGGGGGGGTCTGGTGGTGGAGGGAGAGACAGACGGGGGGGGGTCGAACACTCGCTGGGGGTGAAGCTTCCCATCATGCAGTGCGGTAATGCGGTCACCATGTATAGTTACACTGAGTATGTCCTGTCTACATCCTGTACTTTCCCTGTTTCCATGGTGACTATGTCATAGCGACCCGGTTTCCATGGTGACCGGTTTTCTCTCTCCCGGCGTTCTAGCTCACCTTGCATTGCCCCCGGGATCCTTTCCGGGCCGGGCCCGCTCGGGCTCCGCCATTCCCTGGGCCGCGGCGGAGGGTGTCGGGGGCTGTAGTTTCTTTCACCGAAAATTCTCCGACTCGACCAGGCCGTGAGCGGCGACAAACAAACTACAACTTCCGGCAACCTCTGCAGGCCCACCCGGGGAATGCCGGGAAATGGAGTCTCAAACACCAACCTCCCCAGTTTATTTAGCTGTGAGCGTCAACAAACTAAACTACAACTCCCAGCACACTTGGAAAAATAAACTACAAAACCCGGCCTCCTTCTCGGGAATAGCCCTGACATAGAATAGAGCACAGTGCTGCTCCTATATAACATGTGTAGAGGTGTATGCATGGCTTGGTACATTGGCTTCTTATTTACAGTGTTATTTAATAGACTTATTATTTATACAATTATTTTATGGTGGGTTGAATTCACTGTATACAATTTGCATGGGGTTGGCAGGGATCCAAATGGTGTCTTTACTTTTTTTTTCTTTTGCATAAATAATGACAGACAACTGCCCAAATACAACAAAAGTAAAATGAACAAAACACATTATTTAGTAGATATACCCCCCCAATGAAAACATATATAAATTTAATTATGCTTTTTTTCATTATGGTATATTTAAATACAGCTTTTAAATGCTGCAGTGCTCTTGTCTGCAGCCTTTGCAAGCCCTCCCCTTCTAACCCCGCCCAGACTTCCTGTGTCTGTCCAATCACAGACTTTACATTGCAGCTCAATTAGAAGTCTTTGCAAGACAGGAGCTCTAGGCTGTGCTAACCAAACTAGGAGGTAGCAGGGAGTGTAACAAGGTTAACATATAAAAGCGACAATTTCTATTAAAATCTGTACTGTTCATAAAATGAAGGGGGAAAACAGGATACACTCTTCAGCAAGTGCTGCATGTGTTTGGAGAGTTCATTTAATTAAATGTCATGGAGTACCCTCAAACAATAACCCAGTAAGAGAGTTCTTGTAGAAAATTCCTCAATGGGATTCAAACGTTATCCTCTGTGTATGTTATGTTAGAGTTTGAGGGTCCTCTAGGGGCCTGGTTTGCCTGGGCTCGCTGAGCATTATTGAAAATGTAATTCGCAATCATTTGACATCAGTATCTATGCCAGGAGTTTCCAAGTCAACTTTCCCAGGGGCCAGTGGCAAAGCTGTCTTTCCCCATGAGGGCCGTAGATCTTAGCTCCGAGACACAAACACACACAGATATATAATGGCTTCTTAGTGAGACAAAACATTGCTTACATGACAGTAAATTGTCTTTTTTTAATATTGCTTGTGTGCCTGATTCTGCCTGTATAATCCTGGGAGGTATTGTTCCAAATGGGGCATGTGTGCTTTCTCTTTATGTTTGTAAACTGTTGATGGAGGATGCTTCTTTGTGCTGTGTGGTTACAGAATGCTGAAACATTCAGGGCTTTTCTCTAAAGTCAGAATTTAAAGTAAATTTCAAATATAAGTTCAAAATAGCCAAACTGAAAAAAATCTCCAAGTTAGTTTTTTTTCCTCTACTCTGACTTTTAAATTCACTTTAAATTCTCAGTTTAGTAAATAAGCCCAGTTTTCTCTTGCCGCAGGTTTGCAATCTTTCTCTGCCGGTGGGGGGACCTGATGCACATGCGCGGTGAGCTCCTTACACTCATTAGCCTTTCCTCATAGGTAAGCATTGAATCAATGATTTCCTATGGGGATTTTGAGAAGGCTGGGTGTCCTCCAAACTCCTCGAAACTGCATGGAGCGCCTCTAGTGACTGTCCTGCAATGTAAACATTGCGGTTTCTCTAAAACTGCAATGTTTTACATTGTAGGACTTAGGGGGACAGGGACACTAGAGCTAGGGTTAACACCACCTCTAGTGGCTGTCTATCAGACAGCTGTTAGAGGGACTTCCGGGATGTAAAGCGACTTTTAGTCTCCTGATGCTGGACATCCTCACACTATGCATGGGGACATACATGTCACTCAAAACGCCGATAGGATAGCACTGAATGATACCTATAGGGAAATCCTACTATGAGCGTGGCCATTGCCTCACATGTGCATTAGGTCTCCCCCGCCAGCTGACAAAACTATTACCAAACATACCAATATTATGTACTCAAATAAAGCATGGAAATATTCCAAGAATAGAAAAAACAAACCTATGAAACGCCAGAGCAAAATAAATGAAAATTACATAAGTTGATTTGACACAGTTTGTTTTCTGTAAATAGGTTTATTTTAATATTTTAGGAGCACATATTTCACCAGCTAACTTGATAGGAATAAACTGTAGATTTTTTTTAACAGTGTGCTACACACTTTTACCCTTGTTTACTGCAAACACAAAATTCTGATTAGATCAAAAAGAACAACCCCCTCCCCCCCAAGACCCCATAACATTTATTATAGAATTGCACGTTTGCATATTAAGTGGAAGGCTGCGATGTACCACAGCCTGGGGATATTAGATTGTATACAGTATTTTCTATGATATGGTTTGACAGTATGCTTTATAAAACTAACAAATGTGCAACAAATATACATTATAAATATTCATGTATTGATACTGTGCATGTACCTGCTGTGAAACACAGCAGTCTTCTAGTCAGTATTGCCACAAAACATATTTTAGCAGTTCTATCTTGGAGCAGCAAGGAAAGACCTTCAGAACAACCTAACCCTGCATTTTGCATTGGCTAACTTTTGTAACTTCAGGGTGTGACTGTTGAAAACATATTCTTTCACTAACAGTTTCAGTGCTGATTTGCTTACAAAATAAATGCTTAGAGGAAAGGCGATTTACTGCTACATTTCTTCAACATCCCTCCCCCGAAATATAAAAATGTGCAGGTAAAACTATCTGGCCACAAAAGCTTACAATCTGACATGTATCTATAGGTTATTGTGTTACTGTAAGTTAGTATGCTCATCTGTAAGATATGACAGCCATACTCGTTTACTTGGACAGGAATGGGTGGGTAATTATAGGTACACCATCTCTGCATAACAGAGGTTAAATCAGCAGCTGACTTCAGATATAGAGAAAAGCAGAGTCTCTTAGGCAAGATCTGTATGTCTTTTATACAATTGTTTGATTTTTAAGTGTAGATATTAGAGTGTAGGCTTCTGTGGTTGTAAACAAAGGGAGACATGATACAGTAAAATGGATAAAAGCCAGGCATGTATATTTACTAGGAATGTGCGTATGTGTGCAGCAAGCAGTATTTCTGGGAGTTCCTCTGTTTTGCAAGTGCGATACTCAGTTGCGTGGAGATACATTTTTATCCAAAGTGACTTTGGCAACAGGAGCCATTTTGACTGGATTAATTCACACGAAGGATGTTAAACCATTGCATTGTGCTCTGTTTTTTGACCTGCATTTCCCAGAATTCTCCACCAGTCATTGACTGGCAGAGAATTCTGGGTAATGAAGACTAACAAAAAAATGGATTGTCCTGTCTGGTCTCCCACAGTTTATGCTGTAACCAAACTATTCACTGTGTAGAAACATATATACTTGAGGTCTCTTTCACGTTTAAGGTGCTCACATTAAACTTTAGGCTATTGCTTTTGCCCCCATGTTTTAAGGTCACATAAAGCATACCACAGTAGACATGTCCACTGATCACTGTATACGAGACCGTCTACATCAAAGTAATCAATTCTCAGACCTAATGATCGATGATTGTCCACTTGACCAAGTAAGAGGTTATAGTTGGTCCAAAAGCTGCATCTGATGCTCAGGAGCTTTTGACTGAAACATATATGTGTTGTGTTGGTTGTAAGTATTGTAGGCTCCTGGATGTCTGATCTGAAGTTCTGGACAAAATCGGTATCACAGCCAGCTGTGTTATTTTCGTCCTCTGGTTGGGAACCCCTTCCTCGATGTTCCCTTGAAACTCAAGCTATGAGCATGTCCAGCAGGTTTACTCGTTAGTTTCATGGGGTTAGTTTTTATTACAAGGGGTAGCTCTTTAGTTAGGGGGGCTGTGATGGCTGCAGGGGGTCTCCTCTTTAGATTTTTGCCCATTGTTACTGCTTCAGACTCGGTGGCAGGAAAATTCAACGTTGCTTTTCTTTTGGGGGTTGAAGAGACTGAAGAAACTCGGAACCAGTTCTAGGGAGACAAATGATGGTGTGGTTAATTAACCCTATTACACCTGGATATTTACCTGATCTTCTAATACAATTCTGAGGATATTATTGAGCCTAGAGGTAATCGTTGGAATTTTTACCAGGTTCATTTTCGTTCCACAGACTTTTGAGGATTTGCTGTCCCCACCCCTACCAATAATATACGGATATATTAATATTTGCAGAATTCATACAGGCATTGCGCTCTTAAAATTTTAATTGTTATATTAATTAAAGTCTACATTTTTATAGTACTGCCAGGTAAATTTTTACAAGAGCAACACACCACCATCAACTTCTGTTTTCTACTACTAGTTCCTCTCTTCTGCTTTGTAACATCTATACACTGTAAAAGCAAATGCACAGATGAATACTTATCTAATCTGATCTTTCTGTATGGAACTTTGAGCATATCGTGGCGTGGGCAGGGCGAGTCCATCCCGTCCACTGAATTTGGAGAAGGAAGTGTGGAAACGGCACTGACCAAAGTATTCAATGATCTACTTGCTGCAAAATCTCGTGGTCACTACTCTATTCTAATTCTCCTTGACCTGTCTGCGGCTTTTGACACTGTTGATCATCAGCAGCTTCTTCTCATCCTCCGCAATATCGGTCTACAAGATACTGCTCTCTCCTGGTGCTCCTCCTACCTCTCCCAGCGCTCTTTCAGTGTTTCTTTCTCTGGCTCTGCTTCTTCTCCCCAACTCCTCTCTGTTGGTGTCCCCAAGGTTCAGTCCTTGGTCCCCTACTGTTCTCCATCTATACTGCCTCCCTTGGTAAACTCATTAGCTCCTTTGGCTTCCAATATCATTTCTATGCAGATGACACGCAAATCTACCTGTCCTCTCCTGATCTCTCCCCGTCCCTCTTGACTAGTGTCTCTGACTGCCTCTCTGCTGTTTCTAACTGGATGGCTGCCCACTTCTTTAAACTAAATTTGACCAAAACTGAAATTCTGGTCTTTCCTCCCTCAAGTGTTGTTACTCCTGTGTTTGTCTCCCTCCAAGTCAACGGTGCTACCATCAGCTCCACCACGCAGGCTCGCTGCCTAGGTGTTCTCTTTGACTCTGACCTCTCCTTCAAGCCTCATGCTCAATCTATCGCCAAATCCTGTCATTTCCATCTCAAAAACATTGCGCGCATCCGCCCCTACTTAACGCCAGATGCGACTAAGGTGTTGGTCCATTCCACTGTCCTTTCTCGCCTTGACTACTTTAATCCGCGTCTCAGTGGTCTTACGTGCTCCCAACTAGCGCCGTTACAGTCCATAATGAATGCGGCGGTGAGGCTCATCTTCCTGTCTGCCCGCACCTCCCATGCCTCACCCTTCTGTCAGTCCCTACATTGGCTTCCTATAAAATATAGAGCTCAATTTAAAATTCTGGTTCTTGCTTTCAAATCTCTAGATAATGCTGCTCCCACCTATTTATCCTCCCTTATACACAAGTATGTCCCGTCTAGGCCCTTACGATCTGCTGAAGACTTACTTCTATCTTCTGTCCATACTCCCACCTCTTATGCTCCCCTTCAAGATTTCTCGAGGGCTGCACCGTTCCTGTGGAACTCGCTTCCCTCCTCCATTAGATGCTCACCCTGTCTCCACTGCTTCAAAAAATCGTTAAAAACCCACTTCTTCATAAAAGCGTATCAATTAAACTGTTAATAGCTCCTGACTGATTCATCTTCTGCAATGGTCACTAGTCTAATACTATCCTTACCTTTTTGTGTCATTTTACCCCACTCCCTCTAGCATATAAGCTCATTGAGCAGGGCCCTCAACCCCTCTGTTCCTGTGTGTCCAACTTGTCTGGTTACAAATACATGTCTGTTCGTCCACCCATTGTAAAGCGCTGCGGAATTTGACGGCGCTCTATAAATATCATCATCATAATAATAATAATAATAATAATAATAATAATAATAAATAATCTTCAGGGATTTTATGTTTACTGTTATCTTGCTCCTGCATGAACCCAAGAGACGATGGGCACTCACCTGTGAGTGTGTCTTCAGAATGTGATACTTCACTCCACTCTCTGAGCTGAATTCTTTCTGACACAGGAGACAGCGATACTTTCCCACCGAATGATTCCCCTGCCAATGGAGCAAAATGGCTGACACTTACAGGCATAATCAATGCTCACTCGGTCACAGACCTCAACTAACCTCACTCAGTCATGTGCATTTGGTTATATAGAGTGATCACTAAATACAAGTACGTTTTTCCCAGTGGTATGGGATGGGTGGTCAAAATGTAGATCCCTGTCTATTATACAGCTACAAATTCTATGTTGCTTTACAAGCCTTAAGGCATGGCATCATGGGATCTGCAGTCCTACAGCTGGGGGTAAGCTTTATGAGGACACTGAACAGATAATGTGTGCAGTGACCACCAATCACTCAGGACAGCTGATTTATCCCTGTGAATCATGCAGTCTCAGAATACACACATTGAGTGCACACTCATTACCTTGCTACAGCTTGCTAGATGAGCCTTCAGTCCAGACACACTTGAGTATATTGCTTCACAGCACTGCCAGTGGAAACAAAGTGCAAAGTGAATATTAGCATGTGTTACACGGTCTGTCTCTCTCATTAGCTCATTTTACATTACTGGAACAGGCTGCATTTGTATATCGCAATCACTTCAACTAGCCATGTATCATTAAAGCAACTATTGTGCCACTAGCTCCGTGTCACAAGCAGTTTGTTAATGTGATCATGTCTGTGCCACTGCAACCAGTTCTGTGTCATTAGCAATGTGTCACAGTGACTATGTCTGAGTCACTAGCATTGTGTCGCTGCACCTAGTTGCAGGTAACAAACAGTGTGTCACCATGACTATGTCTGTGTCAGTAGCATAAGCTGTCACAAGCAGTGTATCACTGTAACTATGTCTGTCACTAGCAGTGTGTCACTGTGACAAGTTGTGCCGCTAGCAGTGTGCCCCACGATTAGCTCTGTGCCATTATCCATTTGTCACTGTGACAAGCAGTAGATCATCTTTGCAAACTTTGTGTCACTAGCAGTGTAATCACGACTATGTCACAATAACACTCACGTTATTCGGACAGCAGATGAACCCGTTCTCCTTCACTCGCGTTTTCCAGCTTTCCAGGAGCTGGGGGTTAAAGGTCGGCAGACCGGGACGCAGGTAGTTCAGCTGTTACATGACACATGTGTCAGACTCTCATGTTACCCCCAGATATACCTGGCACCAAGGGGAGCATGGATTGTATACCAAAATGTTATATTTGATTTTTGTAATATTTGTATTTAGCAAGCTGTATTAAACACAGTGACAAGCTGCAGGGTCCAAAATTCTAAGTGTTAAATGAGATTATATGGGATTAAAAGGATAAAGGATTATGGAATCAGCATAGGGGTACATCTATATCATCATTATCCTAACTGAATACCCAATTTGACATTAGATGGAGCTTCATTAATAGCTCTTGAACCCATCTTCATAATTCCTGATTTCTCTTTTCTTCATAACATGCCTCAGGGTATCTCACATCTCTGCCTTACCTGTAGACATCCTTTTAGCCCATCTTACCCTCTTACTGTCAGGAACCAGATCTTCTCTCATCCTTCTCCTCCCTCCCTCCTTGGAGAGTTCATCCTCTGCTATCTCCTGCAGGTGGAAGACCGCTAACTGGGCCGACTGGCGCCGGACTCTACCGCTGGGTGTTCGTTCAATATTCTCCAGTTCCCTTTCCTCTTCTGCTGCTGCTGGCTTTGCAGGAGCCTGTAGAGCAGTTACGGAGAGCACACACTGTAAAACCCTGCGTACATTTACTTTTCAACAACGTGAAATTGTAACGGATTACTGTTGGTGTAAAATTATTCAGAAGCGTTAAGTAGTATCGTACACTCCTAATTATTTTGAGAAAGAGCTCTGTCACACACTAGTGATAAGTATCAGACATGGTAGTACAATGCACTAGTGATTAGCATCAGGCAATGCTTTAACCTAGAAACTAGGTCAGATAGCCAAGTCACACACTAGTGATCAGAATCAGGCAGTGCCATGTCACACACTAGTGAACAGTATGAGGCAGTGCCATGTTACACACTAGTGATCAGAATCAGGCAGTGCCAAGTCACATACTAATAATCATTGTTAGGAAGGGCCGTGAAACACCACACTAGTGATCATTGTCAGGGGGAACAAAGTCACACACCAGTGATCGGAATCAGGCAGTGCCATGTCACACACTAGTGATCAGTATAAGGCAGTGCCATGTCACACGCTAATGATCAGTATCAGGCAGTGCCATGTCACACACTAGTGATCAGTATCAGGCAGTGCCATGTCACACACTAGTGATCAGTATCAGGCAGTGCCATGACACACACTAATGATCAGTATCAGGCAGTGCCATGTCACACACTAATGATCAGTATCAGGCAGTGCCATGTCACACACTAGTGATCAGAATCAGGCAGTGCCAAGGCACACACTAATGATCAGTATGAGGCAGTGCCATGTCACACACTAATGATCAGAATCAGGCAGTGCCAAGTCACACACTAATGATCAGTATCAGGCAGTGCCATGTCACACACTAGTGATCAGTATCAGGCAGTGCCATGTCACACACTAATGATCAGTATCAGGCAGTGCCATGTCACACACTAGTCATCAGAATCAGGCAGTGCCATGTCACACACTAATAATCAGTGTTAGGAAGGGCCGTGAAACACCACACTAGTGATCATTTGTCAGGGGGGACTATGTCACACACTAGTGATCTGTATCAGGCAAAGCTGTGTAACACACACCAGTTGTTAAGATCAAGTGGTTGCTTGATTGTTTCACACAAGTGATTACTTTCACACAGTTGGCCATGCCAATGATTCGTGGTCCTCACCGCGCAGTGCTCTGAGCGCACATGGTAATTCCTGCCAGCCTTTGATTGGTACTCCTTGCTGCAATACGGGCAGGAGAAACGCAGTTTGTCCCCCTCTGTCTGCTCTCGTCCACAGCGCTGCATGTGATACTGATACCCCATCAAGCTGGAGAAAGTTGCAGTACAATCCTGCAAGGGGGACAAAACTGTATAGGTAACACATTCTAAGTATGCACAGCATGAACTGCAATAAGTGTATGTGTAAAACATGTTACTGTGGACCGTGAACCCAGTACCTGCTTTGCACAGCGTAATTTTCCCATTTGTTTTAGGACTTTGCGAAGACGCTCCCTCTCTTTCTGTTCGTCTAATGGTGCATCCTCAGAATTGGAAGACTGCAAAAGATATATCATCTCACACTGAGGAATACCACTCCCCACTCACAGAGCGGGTACAGCATACACCACTCACACAGCATTCACAGGATACTTCACTCACAGAGCTAGTGCAACATGACCAACACAATGAGTACACCATGTTGATTTACATAGTAGACAACCCTCCTCATTTCACACAGTGGATACACCATGCCCATTTCACACAGTGGGTACACCATGACCATTTCACAAAGTAGGTACACCAGGCCAATATCACAGAGTGGGTACACCAGGCCCATATCACACAGTGAATAGGCAATGCCCATTTCACACAGTGGGTACACCATGACCATTTCACAAAGTAGGTACACCAGGCCAATATCACAGAGTGGGTACACCAGGCCCATATCACACAGTGAATAAACAATGCCCATTTCACACAGTGGGTAAACCACGACCATATCAGACACCGAGTACACCATTCCCACTTCACACAGTGAGTGCACCATGCCAATTTCACACAGTGGGTACACCAGGTCCATATGACAGAGTGGGTACACCATGCCCATATCACAGAGTGGGTACACCATACCCCTCTCATAGAGTGGGTACACCAGGCCCATATGACAGAGTGGGTACACAATGCCCATATCACAGAGTGAGTACACCAGGCCCATATCACAGAGTGGGTACACCATGCCCATATCACAGAGTGGGTACACCAGGCCCATTTCACAGAGTGGGTACACCACGACCATATCAGACACAGTAGACCATGCTCGTTTCACACGGGTACACCATGTCCATATCACATACCAGGTGCAACTCACCCATTTCACACAGGTGGTATACCACACCATTAGTAATACTGCAATCTTACCTTATTTACATGCTCAGCCATTGTGTGGTAATTCAGACCAGCCTTGGATTTGAACTGTTTCCTGCAATGTTGGCATCTCAAGGCTTCCTGCAGCTGATAGAAAGACGAACATAAGTACTTGACACATACACACACAACAGGTATCAAACATACAGAACTGATTACGTACACTTTTACTGTAAAACACATTGCTGCATGCAACACACACCAAACTGCAAACAGTGATCAACTGTTGGGCATGGGTGTATACAAAGCATGGAAAATACAAACACCCCATACCATTAGTCGAAATTGGTAAACAAAATTCAACCCACAAACATGGCAAGAGGATCAATAACCAAGACATATAGGCTGGTAATTTACATGTCCTACACCGAGTACATATACCCATTCACAGATATCTACAGACACACAGTATGTCTCCGCTGCAAACACAGACACAGTATATCTCTGCTACACACACAGAGACACATGCCTCGACTATCCCCACAGACATCCAATACATCCTTCTATACCCGCAGACACACACTATATCTACATTCTTTCAGGAAGTGTTCCGGAGGATTGGAGGAAGGCAGATGTGGTTCCTATATTCAAAAAGGGTTCAAAATCCTTGCCTGGAAATTATAGACCTGTGAGCTTAACTTCTGTGGCTGGTAAAATATTTGAAAGGTTATTAAGGGATAATATTCAAGAATTCCTTGAGAAGAACATGGTTATCAGCAAAAATCAGCATGGTTTTATGAAGCACAGGTCATGTCAAACTAACTTGATTGCGTTCTACGAAGAAGTAAGTAGAAGTATAGATCAGGGTGTTGCGTGGATGTGATCTATTTGGATTTTGCCAAGGCATTTGATACAGTTCCACACAATAGATTAGTGTTCAAACTCAAGGAAATCGGTCTAGATGAAAATGCTTGTTCTTGGGTAGAACATTGGCTTAAAAACAGAGTACAAAGAGTTGTCATTAATGGTAAATTTTCAAGCTGGACAGAGGTGGCAAGTGGTGTCCCTCAGGGGTCTGTGCTGGGACCCCTTTTATTTAACATGTTTATAAATGATCTTGAAGACCGCATTGAAAGTCATGTTTCAGTGTTTGCAGATGACACCAAACTTTGTAAAACAATACAATGTGAGCAAGATATTACTTTGCTGCAGAGGGATTTAGATAGACTGGGGGACTGGGCACTCAAATGGCAGATGAAATTTAATGTTGAAAAATGCAAAGTTATGCACTTCGGCGTAAAGAATACACAAGCAACGTATACCCTTAATGGAAGCGAATTAGGGATAACAACACATGAAAAGGACTTGGGAATTGTTATAGACAACAAACCATGCAACAATGTGCAATGTCAATCAGCAGTGGCCAAGGCCAGTAAGGTATTGTCATGCATGAAAAAGGGCATTCATTCTCGGGACGAGAATATCATTTTGCCTCTTTATAAATCACTGGTAAGACCACATATTGAATATGCTGTGCAATTTTGGGCACCTGTTCTAAAGAAGGATATTATGGCACTAGAAAAAGTGCAGAGGCGGGCTACAAAATTAATAAAAGGAATGGAACATATCAGCTATGAAGAAAGGTTAACAAATTTAAACCTATTTAGTTTAGAAAAACGTCGCCTGAGAGGGATATGATAACATTATACAAATATATTCGGGGCCAATACAAACCATTGTGTGGAAATCTATTCACAAACCGGACTTTACATAGGACACGAGGCCATGCGTTTAGACTGGAAGAAAGAAGATTTCGTCTAAGGCAAAGGAAAGGTTTTTTTACTGTAAGAACAATCAGGATGTGGAATTCTCTGCCTGAGAAAGTGGTTTTATCAGAGTCCATACAGATGTTCAAACGGCTACTAGATGCATACTTGCAAGAACAGAATATTCAAGGATATAATCTTTCAATGTAGGGTAATAACTGCTTGATCCAAGGATAAATCTGACTGCCATTCTGGGGTCAAGAAGGAATTTTTTTCCTAGCTTGTTGCAAAATTGTGCTTCAAACTGGTTTTTTTTGCCTTCTTTTGGATCAACAGCAAAAAACAAATGTGAGGTAGGCTGAACTTGATGGACGCAAGTCTCTTTTCAGCTATGTAACTATGTAACTATGTAACTACACCCGCAGACACACAGTATATCTCCTCTACACCCGCAGACACACAGTATATCTCCTCTACACCCGCAGACACACAGTATATCTCCTCTACACCCGCAGACACACAGTATATCTCCTCTACACCCGCAGACACACAGTATATCTCCTCTACACCCGCAGACACACAATATATCTCCTCTACACCCGCAGACACACAGTATATCTCCTCTACACCCGCAGACACACAGTATATCTCCTCTACACCCGCAGACACACCGTATATCTCCTCTACACCCGCAGACACACAGTATATCTCCTCTACACCCGCAGACACACAGTATATCTCCTCTACACCCGCAGACACACAATATATCTCCTCTACACCCGCAGACACACAATATATCTCCTCTACACCCGCAGACACACAGTATATCTCCTCTACACCCGCAGACACGCAATATATCTCCTCTACACCCGCAGACACACAGGGTATCTCCTCTACACCTGCAGACACACAGTATATCTACACCCGCAGACATTCAGTATATCTCCTCTAAACCCGCAGACACACCGTATATCTCCTCTACATCCGCAGACACAACGTATAACTCCTCTACACCCGCAGCCACAAAGTATATCTCCTCTACACCCGCAGACACGCAATATATCTCCTCTACACCCGCAGACACACAGGGTATCTCCTCTACACCCGCAGATACACCGTATATCTCCTCTACACCCGCAGACACACAGTATATCTACACCCGCAGACATACAGTATATCTTCTCTACACCAGCAGACACACCGTATATCTCCTCTACACCCGCAGACACACCGTATATCTCCTCTACACCCGCAGACACATTGTATATCTCCTCTACACCCACAGACACACCGTATATGTCCTCTACACCTGCAGACACACAGTATATCTACACCCGCAGACACACCGTATATCTCCTCTACACCCGCAGACACACAATATATCTCCTCTACACCCGCAGACACACTGTATATCTCCTCTACACCCGCTGACACACCGTATATATCTCCTCTACACCCACAGTCACACAGTATGTCTCCTCTACACCTAATAAATCTTCTGTACACTTACTCCCTCACAGAACATACACAGCCAATCCTACCTGCTCACACACGTCCATGTGCTTCTTCAGACCAGCCATAGTCTTGCGTGTGACGGATACACAATTAGGACATGTAACTTCACCTCTCTTATTAACCTGGCGCTGGCAGGTATCCTCCAAATTGCCTGGTAGAGGGATAGAAAAATGCATGTTATCTGTTTACATCCAAATACATGAATCCCCTCTCCAACTCGGGAATAAAACCTCCGCACTTCATACTCTGAAAACTAGATTAAGACTTAATTCTGAGAGATCTTGCAGACTGCAAAACCAAGGGAGGCCACTTGGGGGCAATGCTGCATTAAACTATAATAAATCATTGTAATATAAACAGTCATCATTTTTTAATTTAATTTATGTCTAAAATACAGCTGACTAAAAGGTCTCCTAGAAATGTGCTTTTACATGATTTTGCTGTGTGACATTGTTAAGCTTGACCTCGATGCTCAGATTGAAATTCTTTGATCCATTAAATTTGCCTGGATGTATCTAACACTCCAGAGGGTTGTAAATTACCTGGAAGTGGTACAGAGTTTTCCCGACGGGCATTTGCACTGTGCAACTTCTTCCTTGACTCATCAGTTCTTCCTCTTACGATCCTTCCACGTCCCCCTCGAGATTTGTCCTCTGTTTTCCCCAACCCTAGAAAATAACAAAGAATATAATACCTTCTGTCCTCCTACTTTTCTAAGGATGAAGGAGGTATAGGAAGTTTACAGAGCATCTACACATGAGGATGAGACCATGAGAAATGTTGGGAGATCTGTAGACATGAAGCTTAGACTGGGGGAGATTTGGGCATTCGATTCACTTAAAAAGGAGACATGCAAGATGTGGGAAGTTCACATGAAGAAGAGAGTCCTATACACGTAAGGAAAATATCTGTAAAGCTTGTGGTCTGAAGACTTCTACATTTTGAATCTTTGTACACACAAATAAAGCCTACCACTAAATCCTGTTATAATTGCAGAGCAACTACTTATTAATTACTAAGATAGTACCATATTTTCCTTCCAACTCAAAATAGATTGAAAGGGGCACTGTAGTCACTATAACCATTTCATCTTTTTAAATTCATTATAGTGCCTGGAATCCACTGGCACTGTCCCTCCATTCAGTGTTAAACCACATAAAAGCACTTTAACACTAAAAAGAGACCTGGGCAACCCACAGTCCGGCCCCTTCTGGAGGTGTGGCTAAGGCAGAGACTACACACTTCCTTGTAGTCAAACCCATTAATACCATCAGTTAAGGCTCTGATAGGCTGACAGCAGTCAGGTGCCTCTCAGTCAATCACAGCTGCCTACTGCTGCTCAGGCTAATACTTCCCCATTAGCACAAGCAGCACAGATGGGATGGGCTGCTGGGGACTCTCGTTAAGCATTAAAACATAAAAAACGGTTTAATGCTGAATGAAATGACGGTACCAGGGAGCGCAAGACAGTGTCTCTTTATTTTTTTTTATTTTTTTTTTATATTTCTTTATTTATCGTATTAAAATTTTTTTTTAACATTATTAACATTTACATATGGGGTATCCAATAGACATACCTCCAACATAGTAATACAGCCATATACAAAATAATTATAAAAAAAAAAAACACCAAAATTAAACAGACAAACGACACAAAGCGAAACAAAAGAAAGAAAAAAAAAGAAAAAAAACTTAATAAAGGATCCAGCGTCAATTGGTTCCACATATAATACAATGTTTCCATCGGAAACCATCATATCGTACACCCGATATATATTACAGCCAGGTACACTTATCCACTACCAAACCTAATCAAGAAGTTAACACCAGGATTTCCATAGTATAATTATCACATTGATAGTCAAAAAAAAAAAAAAATTATATAAAAAATATAGAAAATTATAATACAAATAAATTACATCCTCTGAGACTTGATAAGGGGGGGAACCACAACATGCTATCATGGGTTCTGTCGATTTGTCCAGGGTAACCATAATTTGGTCACGTCTCTAGTACCAAAGAAAGGGTTTATTTCCATCCTATGTTGGTAATCAATTTGCTCCATAATACTATGCCATATTAAAGGAGTAGAAGAATTCCAAGCCCTAGCTATACATATTTTGATGGCAAAAAATATATGAGTCAAAAGATAATTTTGATATTTATCTTGCGAAGGAAAACCAATATTAAAAAGAAATAGTTGAGGGCTAATTTCTTTTATCTCCTTAAAGATAGAGTTAATAATGCCAAACATTTGAATTTTTATACTATCGAGACCATGACACTCCCACCATATGTGGTAGATAGTACCCTCCTCATTTCCACATCTCCAACAATACTTAGAATGGACAGATGATATTTTGTATAATCTAGCCGGTACCATATACCACCTATATATTATCTTTAAATGTGTTTCAACGCTTAACCAGGAGTGTAGCCTTGGACCATTCCGAAAGTGAAAAGGATTCCCCAATATCTTGTTCCCATTTAATAAAGGAGGTGGCATGAGAGTCTTGTTCCATTGATTCTAGCACCTTAATAAATCTAGAAATCCCTCCCTTCTTTTTATATACAGGGAGTGCAGAATTATTAGGCAAATGAGTATTTTGACCACATCATCCTCTTTATGCATGTTGTCTTACTCCAAGCTGTATAGGCTCGAAAAGCCTACTACCAATTAAGCATATTAGGTGATGTGCATCTCTGTAATGAGAAGGGGTGTGGTCTAATGAAATCAACACCCTATATCAGGTGTGCATAATTATTAGGCAACTTCCTTTCCTTTGGCAAAATGGGTCAAAGAAGGACTTGACAGGCTCAGAAAAGTCAAAAATAGTGAGATATCTTGCAGAGGGATGCAGCACTCTTAAAATTGCAAAGCTTCTGAAGCGTGATCATCGAACAATCAAGCGTTTCATTCAAAATAGTCAACAGGGTCGCAAGAAGCGTGTGGAAAAACCAAGGCGCAAAATAACTGCCCATGAACTGAGAAAAGTCAAGCGTGCAGCTGCCGCGATGCCACTTGCCACCAGTTTGGCCATATTTCAGAGCTGCAACATCACTGGAGTGCCCAAAAGCACAAGGTGTGCAATACTCAGAGACATGGCCAAGGTAAGAAAGGCTGAAAGACGACCACCACTGAACAGACACACAAGCTGAAACGTCAAGACTGGGCCAAGAAATATCTCAAGACTGATTTTTCTAAGGTTTTATGGACTGATGAAATGAGAGTGAGTCTTGATGGGCCAGATGGATAGGCCCGTGGCTGGATTGGTAAAGGGCAGAGAGCTCCAGTCCGACTCAGGCGCCAGCAAGGTGGAGGTGGAGTACTGGTTTGGGCTGGTATCATCAAAGATGAGCTTGTGGGGCCTTTTCGGGTTGAGGATGGAGTCAAGCTCAACTCCCAGTCCTACTGCCAGTTCCTGGAAGACACCTTCTTCAAGCAGTGGTACAGGAAGAAGTCTGCATCCTTCAAGAGAAACATGATTTTCATGCAGGACAATGCTCCATCACACGCGTCCAAGTACTCCACAGCGTGGCTGGCAAGAAAGGGTATAAAAGAAGGAAATCTAATGACATGGCCTCCTTGTCCACCTGATCTGAACCCCATTGAGAACCTGTTGTCCATCATCAAATGTGAGATTTACAAGGAGGGAAAACAGTACACCTCTCTGAACAGTGTCTGGGAGGCTGTGGTTGCTGCTGCACGCAATGTTGATGGTGAACAGAAACACTGACAGAATCCATGGATGGCAGGCTTTTGAGTGTCCTTGCAAAGAAAGGTGGCTATATTGGTCACTGATTTGTTTTTGTTTTGTTTTTGAATGTCAAAAATGTATATTTGTGAATGTTGAGATGTTATATTGGTTTCACTGGTAATAATAAATAATTGAAATGGGTATATATTTGATTTTTGTTAAGTTGCCTAATAATTATGCACAGTAATAGTCACCTGCACACACAGATATCCCCCTAACATAGCTAAAACTAAAAACAAACTAAAAAATATTCAGCTTTGATATTAATGAGTTTTTTGGGTTCATTGAGAACATGGTTGTTGTTCAATAATAAAATTAATCCTCAAAAATACAACTTGCCTAATAATTCTGCACTCCCTGTAATACAATAAGGGGATTAACAATGTGGTCCTTAAGTATGGTCCGGGATTGTATAAAATTCTTAATCCTTAGATATTGGAAAAGATCTCTAGGGGAAAGATTAAACTTTTCATGCAATTGTATAAATGGGATGGGTTTAAATCCATCCCATAAGTCAGAGATCTTCGTTAGGCCTAAATGTATCCAAGATTGAACATTAATGTTATCCATTATATATTGTAGGACCACTAATGGAACTCTATATAATAATTTATCTTCTAGCTTCAATTTCTTACTTAGAATTTTAGAAGTATTGATCATATCTATTAATATTCGGTTGGAAAAATTCTTGGTATCCAATTCACCCAAATTTAGCAAACCCATCCAAAAGAGAACAACCAGTTCATATCTAGGGCTATCCTCCTGTTCTAGAGTAAGCCATGATATAGATCCCCGCTCCTTATCCAACCACTGTAAAAGATGAGTCGCCATACATGCTTCATGGATTTTATCAACATCTGGAAATGCTATACCACCCTTCTGGTAGCTCCTTCGAAGGGTATCAAAAGCTATCCTAGGTGGTTTATTAGCCCAAATACATTTAGAAATCAAAATTTGAAAGCGTTTAAGAATACCTTTCCCCAATCTATAGGGAATCGCCCTAAAATAATATATAATTTTGGGTAGCAAAAATGCCTTGATCATATTTAATCTTCCTATCCATGAGGACTCACTCTTCCTCCAATTGTCTACCAGTTGTTGCAGATCTCTTAATAATGTATCATAGTTTGATTGTATCATCTTCTCTATATCAAAAGATATTTTGATCCCCAAATAACCGATAGTATCATTTGCCCATGAGAATTGAAAATGTGCGGTCAGGAAATCTTTCTGAGCCTCAGATAGAAAAGAGGCTAAAATTTGAGTTTTTTTCATATTGATCTTATAATTCGAAAAGCTGCTATAATTTGATATAACGTCCAGTACTGACGGAATTGAAACCATCGGATCCGTCAAAGTAAGGAGGACATCGTCTGCAAATAGGGAGACCTTGGTTTCCCCATTAAGGGACTTAACCCCCTTTACGTTGATATCCTGTCTGATCATAGTGGCCAAAGGTTCAATTGTAAGAATATATAACAGGGGAGCCAAAGGGCAACCCTGTCTAGTACCATTTTTGACCTCAAAATGATCAGACTCAGCAAGAGGGTTAATTATTTTAGCTGTAGAACTCCTATATAACAACATGGTATTGTGTCTAAATTGACCCTCTAGGCCAAATTGGCCCATGACAGAGTCCAGGAATCTCCAATTGACTCTGTCAAAGGCCTTCTCAGCATCAAGGGCCATAATGACAGACCCCCATTTCTGCTCCTTTATTCTATGTATTAAATTAAATATCCTACGTGTATTATCTGTAGTACCTCTCCCTCGCACAAATCCAGACTGATCAATATCGATCAGATCTCCTATTACCTCTTTAAATCTGTTAGATAGTATTTGGGAGAATATCTTTATATCTAAGTTAATGAGAGATATGGGTCTGTAGTTAGTAATAAATGTTGGGTCTTTCCCTACTTTGGGTATAGGAATGATTGAGGCCAATAACATCTCATTGGGGAAAGGATTATCCGCAGACGCCTTCATAAACATCTCTAATAGGATAGGAGAAATGAGTCTAGAAAAAGTTCTATAAAACATTGTTGAGAAGCCATCTGGGCCTGGGGCCTTATTCGGTTTTAACTTATCTATTACTTCTGTTACTTCTGATAGTGAGAATGGAGCATTCAACATTTCCAACTTACTTTGTTTAATTTGTGGTAATTTGAGGTTACTCAAAAATGTATCCATTTCTTCTCTACTCCTTCCTACCTCCTTTAGATTATATAGAGATTTATAAAATTCCGCAAATGCATTTACAATTTCATTTGGTGACACTAGATGTTTATCACCTAAGACGATTTTTTTTATGAATTTATCTTTAAGATTATTCTTAATTTTATTAGAGAGATCTTTAGTTATTTTGTTATTATTATGATACCATCTTTGTTTAAGAAAGAGTATATTTTTATTAACCGTATCATAAATTCTTTCTTTGATAGATTCCCTCAATTTAGTTATTTCCTCAATCAGATCTTTATTCACCATATTTTTATTTAAACGTTCCTTGTTTGCCAATTTTATTCTTAACTCTTGTAGAGATTCTCCCTTCCTCCTTTTAGATTCTGAGCCAAGTTTAATCAATAGTCCCCTTGCAAAACTTTTAAGGGTACACCATACTGTTGCCGTGGAAACTTCCCCATTATCGTTGGTAATCAAGAAATTTTCAATTTCAGATGACAAAAAGTCAATATTGCACTCTGATTTCAAAAGGCTTTCATTAAGTCTCCACCTTGTCCTTGGTCTAAGACCACCTTTTAACTTAACCTTAATGAATACTGGAGCATGATCTGATACAACTATAGATCCGATATTGGAATTAGTAATAAAACTCAAAAACCCCGCTTTCACCAAAAACATGTCTATTCGAGAATAGGTCTGGTGGACATGTGAAAAAAAAGTGTAGTCTCTCTCACTAGGATTCAAAGTCCTCCAACAATCAAATAGAGAGTTCCTGTCTAAAAATTTAGAAAAATCCGAGGTATAGGTATTTACAAATTTGTATTCTCCAGCGTTTTTATGGCTTTTATCCCGTACTGGATCTAATACACAATTAAAGTCTCCCCCAATTATGATGTTGCCACATGCTAATTCATAAACCCTTTCCATAATTTTATCAAAAAAATCCCCTGGGCACGAATTTGGTGCATAAACATTGACCAAAGTATAGATAATACCATTAATTTTTGCGACGAGTATCACATATCTTCCCATTGGATCCCCAGTTAGATGTATCTTTTCAAAATTAATTCTACTAGAAATTATGATAGCAGTACCTCTTTTTTTTTTACTCCCCTCCATATTGGAGGAAAATATCAAAGGGAATTTCTTAAACTTCCAGAGTCTCTCTGGAGAATTAATCCAATGTGTCTCCTGAATAAAAGCAATATCGATATCATTATCCTTTAGAATTTTATGGACCGCTCCCCTTTTCTGTGGTGAGTTTAAACCCTGGACATTCCATGATATCAAATTAAGTGCCATCATAAAACCTATTGTCATGGTTACACCCCGAATCGAGTCTCAGAAAGAAGAAAAAAAATAAAAAACAAAAACATACAAAAGAAAACATATTTACATTATAAGATACATAGAACATGAAAAATAATTCAAGAGGGGAAACAAACCACCTCTTGAAAATCCAGTGGGGAAACACACACATGTATATATATACGTACACTCACATGTATATGGAACCCCCTGAACAAGACCTGCCTATAGTTGCAGGAAGTAGACCCCGGCGAGAGGAGGAAGGACTCACAACTCTTCAAAAACAAAACGGCATTCCAAATATCTACCCATGGTTAATCCATTAGCAGTCCAAAATGTTATCAATTTTACCTGAAACATATGACCACACTTGCTCCTAGAACCAGAGCCCAATATTTTACCAATCTGACATTACATGGTGGTCTATGTTGCTATCCATTATGTTAATGCTAATCTCCCTCTCCTCTCCCCTCCCACGATCATTATGATTCCTAATAGTAATATGGAGTATGGAACATACCCCGGGAGGAAGAGGAAGAATAGGGAGACCTATAAACCTATATCCACCTAAATTAACCTATCAATAATTAAAAAGATATAAACACTAATAGGGAGGGAAGAGAGAAGACAGTGTCTCTTTAACATTCAGGTTGCTGTCTCCTGTACTATGGTATGAATAAAGAAAATGGAAGCCAATCTAGTGTTCTCTACTATTCATACCCAATGTGGTTGGGTATGAATAGAAGAGAACAGAGACCAGTCTAGTTTTTTGGTATTATTTTCTGGTTGGGTATTGAATGAAAAGCATAGAAGCCAATCTAGTATTTTTATTGTTTGATTGGTTTATGTGGACCATAGTATTAATATTGCTATGTAAATGATTTGTAAATACCTTTCAGGCTGAAGGCCCCAGTGATGGAAGTCTGCTCTCCTGTGAACTTCTTGGGAGTTTTTTGTTTCCTTCCTGACTCAAGAGGGAGAAGAAAAAAACAAAAGGGTTGTTTGAGAACCATCATCGTGGAACAAACAACAGGACAGAACTGGGGAAATAATGGATACATGAAAGAGAATGGAAGCAAGAGAATAAATGAGACAGACACAATGGAAGCAAAAGAATGAGTAGAAATGACTTTAAAGGAGTGAAAGAATGAATGAAATTGACAAAATGGGAGTAAGTCATAAAGGGAGAAGAAAATGACTGAGACAAGCAGAATAGGAGCAAGAGAATGAATGAGACATAGAGAATGGCAGCAAAAAAACAAAGGAGACAGGCAGAATAGAAAAAAAAAGAAAATTAACAAGACAGACAGAATGCGAACAAGAGAATGAATGAGACAGACAAAGCGGAAACAGAGAATGAAAGCGATACACAGAATAACAGTTAGGGAAATAATGTAGACCAAAGGAAAATCTGCCTGCATGTCACATCTTTTGGGAATCGTTTCTACTTTCTGCTAGCTGACTTTATAGAGAATGGCATCACTTAGCCCAGCTTGTGTGCCCACAAACACGCCTAGCACATGAAGACACCCAGAAGACATTTATGGCCCGTTGTCACGTAGCGTCCAACCAATACTGGCCGACATCAGAAATGAGTATGTGAGAACTCCAGAGAGGGAGCAAAACAAAGACAACATCCCTGAAATTGCAAGAAATAAAGCTACCTTCTGGCTCACACACTCTCTCTCAATGCAAGGCACCTGGAGAGAGAATATTTCTGTCAATTATTCTACAGCTCTTTACAATAAGACATTGGGGACATTAAACAAGTGTAGATATGCAAATTAATGTGACAAGAGGTAAAAAGAGATCCCGCTCAAATGAGCTCACAATCTAAGAGTAATGGAAAGGGGATGTGGATATGATTTACAACTTCATCCAAAATGAGCCTGTATGACACATACAGAGTGTCCTTCAGTGGGCTCGAGAATGAATTAAAATGAATGAAGGCCAGGGCGTGCTGGCGCATGCACTCCAACGAAGTCTGGCAATTAGTTAGCCCAGAAATTGTTATTGTTATAGTTTACTTGTTCTTTCTTTCTTTACTTTATCCCTTATATGCTTTGATACTTTCTTGCTGGATGTTGCGGGCAGTGTGACAAAACGGACAAGACAACGGCAGATGGTGAGGGCCAACAGATTGGCTGAGACGGGGACAGGCCATAGAGGGTAACAGTATAGCTCATTCGCCACGTATCCAAGATGGCTATAAAAATCATAACCCTAAAAAGATGCGCCTATTATTTCGGGAACTTAAACGGTTAAGTCCGGATTTAGCTTTCCTACAGGAAACCCATTTACCATTCTAACATTAGCCTACAATTAAAAAACCATGTACACAAATAGTCATGAAGCCAGAACACATCGTAAAAAGAATGGGGTAGCAATACTTATTCACAAAAGGTGCCCCAAAAATGTGACGCATGTAGAACCAGACTCGGAGGGACAGTATATAATAGTTTCGGGAACGCTATACTCACACGGCATACACCTCATTAACATACATGCACCTAACGAGCTGACTCCAGAGTTCTACGACCATCTCAAAGCCACATTAGAAAGACTACCTCACGATATGGTCGTCGAGGTGGGGGGGACTTTAATGCTGTGCCGTGTCTGGCCATTGACAGGAGCACGAGAAGCGGACAAATAAGCTACCATGGCAGAGGCAGCCAAGACAAATTGGAACATAAATTTATATGCTCAACAGGGCTGAGAGATGTCTGGAGGGCGCACCATACAGGTGACGCTGATTACACACACTACTTGGCACCACACGACACATATTCGCGCATTAACGATTTCCTAGTAAATTACCAAGCTGTAACTAAGATAATGAGGTCAATCGATAGGATCCATCACGTGGTCAGACCACGCTGACATAACTATAGAGCTTGATAACCTATGCACAATATCCCCATGGAAACTAAACACATCATTACTTAAAGACCCGAACTTTACGGCAACCGTCCAAAAAGAAATTAAGGAATACTTCCAATTAAACTTCTCGGCCGAACGGACACTCGCGACCATATGGGCCGCCCACAAAACGGTTATTAGAGGAGCCCTAATCAGAAAGACAAAACTCGAAAATTAAAAACCCTCCTTAGTGACCTAAAAAAGGCAGAACAGTGGCACAAGACGGACCCATCCCCTGACAAGCTCCATGACTTAGAGACATTGCGACGTCTTATAAGGGAAACACTCCTTGATGACACCATGGTTTGGTCCAAACAAACTTTTTATGAACATGCAAACAAAATGGACACTATGCTGGCCAGAACACTGCACCCACGCCTCTGTCAGACTCACATCACCACTATCAAAGACGAAAGAACAACATTCATGTCTCACCAGCTTGTTTTAAACTTCATTATCATATACCCACTCACATGTCTAGGAAACTCACTTCGACCACATCTTATGTTTGCTACATACCCTAGACATGTTTCATCACCCTGTGACCTAGCTACTTAATTTAAAAAATGTGTGCAATGACCTTCGATGCCTTGAACTTGTTTATGCATTTATTGTACCAAGCTTGTACCTGCTGTTGAGGCACGGCAAGAGCCCATGTTAACTGTTTGCACCACAAAAATAAAGAATAAAAAAAAAAAAAAAAGAGGAAAGAGGTAAACCTAGGACTACACTGACTGATATAGCAAAGGTATTCATGGATTTCTATAAGGCCCTGAACAACCACACTGCCCAGGAAGATGACAACCCAACTGACGGTACAGAAGCCATACAAACATACCTACACAAGCTAACATTACCGAAACTAGACCCGGCCGCTGGGGCAAGCCTGGGCGGCGAAATTACCATAGATGGAATAGACAGAACTATATCAACTTTAAAAGGACATAAAAGCCCCGGTACCTGACGGATTCGAGGGAGGATATTATAAGACATTCCGTAACAACTTAATATCACACATGACAAGTTGGTTTAATTACCTGATGAGAGGGTGTACGGGGGAATTCCAGATCCTGACATGTCATTGGCTACCATAGTGCTACTCCCGACCGGAAAATTTCAGTTCCATATTGTTAATAAATTACTATACCAAAATACTTGCGAAAGTGCTCGCTGAACGACTCTCCCCCCTCCTGACGGGATGCCAATTCTTTGAAAATACCAGACAAAATATAGACTTCATATGGAAACAGGCCTCCACCCAAAAACCAACTCTTATCCTTTCCCTGGACGCCGAAAAGGCCTCCAACAGGGTAAAATGGCCGTATATGTTAAAATTACTGACACACCTAAAATTCCCGGAGACATACATAACAATAATTTGAGCCATGTATACTAATGTCACAGCGCAAATCAGGATCACAGGAGCCCCTAACACGCCCTTCTCACTAAGCAATGGGACACGACAGGGATGCCCTCTGTCCCCGCTACTGTTAGTCCTCTCCCTCGAACCACTATTGCACGCCATATGCACAAACCAACTAATACAGGGTATCACATGGGTAGACAGAGATTCACTGAGTCGAGTTATGTGGACGATGTTCTGCTCACCCTCACACACCCCAAAAAATCCATGGAAGCCTTGGCATATGAACTAAAAAATTATGGTAAACACTCGGGCTATAAGTTCCACCTGAATAAATGGAGCGCTCTTCCCATAGCTTTGTCGGCAGAAGACACGGCACACATCAGCGACAAATACTGTATACACATAGAACATAAGGTGATAAAATATCTAGAGCTGGGAGGGACAGTGGTACTCGCCCTGAACCCAGTAATAAGAAAGAATCCTAACCTTGACCCTCTGGTGCGGCCAGAGACGGGAACATACTCCTACCCCGAACGGGCCAATTGTGGGGTACCCTTTATATATACACTAATGCCAACCCCTGCTTCTGATGGAGGCAACCACCATGACCTCTGAACCAGGAACCTCTCCACACATGCACCACCTGGCTATTCCCAGGTTTTTCTCCCTTTTTTCTATTCCTATATCCAGCGGGTCTCACACAAACTTTGTAAGGGAAATGTTCATTATGTTTTTTTATGTTAGTAACACAACAAAATTAAAAACTTGTCGGCACAATATGCTGATGCATAGACTGAGGAGAAGTCAACTCATCAGGTAACAATAAGACAAAATAACCTAAACCAACTATTGTATAACCTCATGTATGCAACCATGCTATGTAATCTGAATGCATTCGTGTTTTGTAATGATATATGGGAAACGAAAGTGTCGACAAACCAAAAAGAAAGAATAAAAAAAATTAAGAAAATTAATGAAGGCAAAAAAATGAAAGTAAGAAATACAAATTAGAATGGGTGGGAGATCAGCTGTACCCCCACCTCACCCCTCTGATGCACAGGGACCCTTCTTACTGTGCTTCATCCGTCCTGGGTCCTCATCAGCTCCCTGTATGGCATGGCGGCTGTGCGGGATGACAGCTCCATTCTCCTCTGGGGGACGCAGAATGGCCTGTTTAGAATGTCTGTGTAGAGGAGGGGGTTTTTCTGCCTCCCTGGGAGTAATACAGAGGGAACAGGTTTAACGAAGACCCCTCTACTGTGATTCTACTCACCCCACATATAGCTAATTCAACCAAATGCCCCTAGCAAGCACTGCAGTTTCCAAAACTGCTAACAGTACTAATAGATGTCTTCCTACATACTGCTATACTCCCTACTGACATTAACTGACTCATCCTACATACATTGCTATACCACCTACTGACATTAATTGACTCATCCTTCATACATTGCTATACCCCCTACTGACACTAACAGACTCATCCTACATACATTGCTATACCCCCTACTGACACTAACAGACTCATCCTACATACATTGCTATACCTCCTACTGACACTAATAGACTAATCCTACATACATTGATATACCCCCTACTGACATTAATTGACTCATCCTACATACATTGATATACCCCCTACTGACATTAATTGACTCATCCTACATACATTGCTATACCCCCTACTGACACTAATACACTCATCCTACATACATTGCTATACCTCCTACTGACACTAATAGACTCATCCTACATACATAGCTATACCCCCTACTGACACTAATAGAATCATCGTACATACATAGCTATACCCCCTATTGACACTAACAGACTTATACTACATACATAGCAATATCCCCTATTGACACTAACAGACTTATACTACATACATTGCTATACCCACTACTGACATTAATTGACTCATCCTACATACATTGCTATACCCCCTACTGACACTAACAGACTCATCCTACATACATTGATATACCCCCTACTGACATTAATTGACTCATCCTACATACATTGATATACCCCCTACTGACATTAATTGACTCATCCTACATACATTGCTATACCACCTACTGACATTAATTGACTCATCCTACATACATTGATATACCCCCTACTGACAATCATAGATTCATCCTACATACATTGCTATACTCCCTACTAACATTAATAGACTCATCCTACATACATTGCTTTACCCACTACTGACATTAAATGACTCATCCTACATACATTGCTATACCCCCTACTGACATTAATTGACTCATTCTACATACATTGATATACCCCCTACTGACATTAATTGACTCATCCTACATACATTGCTATACCTCCTACTGACATTAATTGACTCATCCTACATACATTGATATACCCCCTACTGACAATCATAGATTCATCCTACATACATTGCTATACTCCCTACTAACATTAATAGACTCATCCTACATACATTGCTTTACCCACTACTGACACTAATAGACTCATCCTACATACATTGCTATACCCCTACTGACACTAATTGACTCATTCTACATACATTGATATACCCCCTACTGACATTAATTGACTCATCCTACATACATTGCTATACCTCCTACTGACATTAATTGACTCATCCTACATACATTGCTATACCCCCTACTGACACTAATGGACTCATCCTACATACATTGCTATACCTCCTACTGACACTAACAGACTCATCCTACATACATTGCTATACCTCCTACTGACACTAATAGACTAATCCTACATACATTGATATACCCCCTACTGACATTAATTGACTCATCCTACATACATTGATATACCCCCTACTGACATTAATTGACTCATCCTACATACATTGCTATACCCCCTACTGACACTAATAGACTCATCCTACATACATAGCTATACCCCCTACTGACTCTAATAGAATCATCGTACATACAAAGCTATACCCCCTACTGACAATAATAGAATCATCGTACATACATAGCAATATCCCCTATTGACACTAACAGACTTATACTACATATATTGCTATACCCCCTACTGACACTAACGGACTCATCCTACATACATTGCTATACCCCCCACTGACACTAACTGACTCATCCTGCTTACATTGCTATACCCCCCACTGACACTAATAGACTTATACTACATATATTGCTATACCCCCTACTGACACTAACGGACTTATACTACATATATTGCTATACCCCCTATTGACACTAACAGACTTATACTACATATATTGCTATACCCCCTACTGACACTAACGGACTCATCCTACATACATTGTAAAACCCCTTACACTGACACTGTGAATAGTCTAATTTCTGCTGTGCCCTATGTCCTGCAATGTATACAGACACAGACTGTTTACAGACAATCCTCACTCCCTATATGCCTATCAGTGGTTTACAGTGTTTTGTTTTATAGGGGTACCCCATTGCACCTCTCTTTCCCCCCACTGTTGAATGCAGACTGTTTTGGTCTTTGCTCTCGGTTGCCCCCCCTGTCTGAATGATTCCAAACCAGATGTTTTTGCAGCTGTGACTTGGAGACAAAAACCGCTTCGCAGTATGGACAGGAGAATCGCAAACGGAAAGAGAGCCCGACCTGGAGGAGAAAGAGACAGCGCAGTGACCAACACAAACACAGAACAGGAAACTTGTGTGTGGCAAGTTTAGTGTTTCACTCCTAGGCAGCACTGAGTATCACAGAATAAGAAAGACTACTGTATACTAATCCCTGGCAGCACTGACTAGTACTGCGTAAGGAAGCTAAGTACTCACTCACCCTCTGGCTACACAGACTAGTACAGAGTAATGAAGGTAGGTACTCCCTCACGCCCTGGCAGCACTGGCTAATACAAAGTAAGGAAGGTAGGTACTCCCTCACCCCCTGGCAGCGCTGACTAATATAAAGTAAGGAAGGTAGGTACTCCCTCACCCCCTGGCAGCGCTGACTAATATAAAGTAAGGAAGGTAGGTACTCCCTAACCCCCTTGCAGCACTGATTAATATAAAGTAAGGAAGGTAGGTACTCCCTCACCCCCTGGCAGCACTGACTAATGTAAAGTAAGGAAGGTAGGTACTCCCTCACCCCCTGGCAGCACTGACTAATATAAAGTAAGGAAGGTAGGTACTCCCTCACCCCCTGGCAGTGCTGACTAATATAAAGTAAGGAAGGTAGCGCTGACTAATATAAAGTAAGGAAGGTAGGTACTCCCTCACCCCCTGGCAGTGCTGACTAATATAAAGTAAGGAAGGTAGGTACTCCCTAACCCCCTTGCAGCACTGATTAATATAAAGTAAGGAAGGTAGGTACTCCCTCACCCCCTGGCAGCACTGACTAATGTAAAGTAAGGAAGGTAGGTACTCCCTCACCCCCTGGCAGTGCTAACTAATATAAAGTAAGGAAGGTAGGTACTCCCTAACCCCCTTGCAGCACTGACTAATATAAAGTAAGGAAGGTAGGTACTCCCTCACCCCCTGGCAGCACTGACTAATATAAAGTAAGGAAGGTAGGTACTCCCTCACCCCCTGGCAGCGCTGAATAATATAAAGTAAGGAATGTAGGTACTCCCTCACCCCCTGGCAGCACTAACTAATATAAAGTAAGGAAGGTAGGTACTCACTCACCCCCTGGCAGCGCTGATTAATATAAAGTAAGGAAGCGCTGACTAATATAAAGTAAGGAATGTAGGTACTCCCTCACCCCCTGGCAGCACTAACTAATATAAAGTAAGGAAGGTAGGTACTCCCTCACCCCCTGGCAGTGCTGACTAATATAAAGTAAGGAAGGTAGGTACTCCCTCACCCCCTGGCAGCACTGACTAATATAAAGTAAGGAAGGTAGGTACTCCCTCACCCCCTGGCAGCGCTGACTAATATAAAGTAAGGAAGGTAGGTACTCCCTCACCCCCTGGCAGCACTGACTAATATAAAGTAAGGAAGGTAGGTACTCCCTCACCCCCTGGCAGCACTGACTAATATAAAGTAAGGAAGGTAGGTACTCACTCACCGCCTGGCAGCACTAACTAATATAAAGTAAGGAAGGTAGGTACTCCCTCACCCTCTGGCAGCGCTGACTAATATAAAGTAAGGAAGGTAGGTACTCTCTCACCCCTTGGCAGCACTGACTAATATAAAGTAAGGAAGGTAGGTACTCTCTCACCCCCTGGCAGCACTGACTAATATAAAGTAAGGAAGCGCTGACTAATATAAAGTAAGGAATGTAGGTACTCCCTCACCCCCTGGCAGCACTAACTAATATAAAGTAAGGAAGGTAGGTACTCCCTCACCCCCTGGCAGCACTGACTAATATAAAGTAAGGAAGGTAGGTACTTCCTCACCCCCTGGCAGCGCTGACTAATATAAAGTAAGGAAGTTAGGTACTCCCTCACCCCCTGACAGCGCTGAATAATATAAAGTAAGGAAGGTAGGTACTCCCTCATCCCCTGGCAGCACTGACTAATATAAAGTAAGGAAAGTAGGTACTCCCTCACCCCCTGGCAGCGCTGACTAATATAAAGTAAGGAAGGTAGGTACTCTCTCACCCCCTAGCAGCGCTGACTAATATAAAATAAGGAAGGTATGTACTCCCTCACCCCCTGGCAGCAATAACTAATATAAAGTAAGAAAGGTAGGTACTCCCTAACCCCCTGGCAGCGCTGACTAATATAAAGTAAGGAAGGTAGGTACTCACTCACCCCCTGGCAACACTAACTAATATAAAGTAAGGAAGGTTGGTACTCCCCCCCTGGCAGCACTGACTAATATAAAGTAAGGAAGGTAGGTACTCTCTCACCCCTTGGCAGCACTGACTAATATAAAGTAAGGAAGGTAGGTACTCTCTCACCCCCTGGCAGCACTGACTAATATAAAGTAAGGAAGGTAGGTACTCTCTCACCCCTTGGCAGCACTGACTAATATAAAGTAAGGAAGGTAGGTACTCTCTCACCCCCTGGCAGCACTGACTAATATAAAGTAAGGAAGGTAGGTACTCCCTCACCCCCTGGCAGCGCTGACTACTAATATAAAGTAAGGAAAGTAGGTACTCCCTCACCCCCTGGCAGCACTAACTAATATAAAGTAAGGAAGGTAGGTACTCCCTCACCCCCTGGCAGAACTGACTAATATAAAGTAAGGAAGGTAGGTACTCCCTCACCCCCTGGCAGCACTGACTAATATAAAGTAAGGAAGGTAGGTACTCCCTCACCCCCTGGCAGCGCTGACTAATATAAAGTAAGGAATGTAGGTACTCCCTCACCCCCTGGCCGCACTAACTAATATAAAGTAAGGAAGGTAGGTACTCACTTACCCCCTGGCAGCGCAGATTAATATAAAGTAAGGAAGGTAGGTACTTACTCACCCCCTGGCAGCGCGGATTAATATAAAGTAAGGAAGGTAGGTACTCACTCACCCCCTGGCAGCGCTGACTAATATAAAGTAAGAAAGGTAGGTACTCCCTCACCCCTTGGCAGCACTGACTAATGTAAAGTAAGGAAGGTAGGTACTACCTCACCCCCTGGCAGCGTTGACTAATATAAAGTAAGGAATGTAGGTACTCCCTCACCCCCTGGCCGCACTAACTAATATAAAGTAAGGAAGTTAGGTACTTACTCACCCCCTGGCAGCGCTGATTAATATAAAGTAAGGAAGGTAGGTACTCACTCACTCCCTGGCAGCACTGACTAATATAAAGTAAGAAAGGTAGGTACTCACCCCCTGGTAGCGCTGATTAATATAAAGTAAGGAAGGTAGGTACTCACCCCCTGGCAGCGCTAATTAATATAAAGTAAGGAAGGTAGGTACTCACCCCCTGGCAGCGCTGGTAATGTTGTTTCAAGCTGTACACAGTGGGAAATTCTCGCCAACAACCGGAGCTGGGACACTTTACCCGAGTCCGTGTCTTAAACATCTCCTTCCACTGACCAATTAGAGCAGCCTGAGAGATGGTTAGTGAGGGAAACAGGAAGTTAGTGAGGGGCAATGGGAGGACACATGGTCTGTGTGAGGTGGAGGGACAATAGGGGATCAGACAGAGGGGAAGAAGAGAGGGGATCAGTGGGAATAAAGGAAACATGAGGGATTGGTGATTAACTATTTCTGGGGGGAGAAAACCTGCAGTTTATATTACACTTGGTTGAACTATAGTTTTTGTCTGGATAATATATCATCAAGAGACAATGAGAGCTTCTCTAAAGGTTATATAATTATACCCATTATCCCTTTTATAAGACAGGCTCATTACCGGTATAATTTGCATTTCACGGGTCTCTGTCCTTGGGTATCTGCTCTGTGCCAAACCCTGGCTTGAAGATTCTCCTAAGGAAATAAATCTCAGTATCAGTAAGACTTTAAAATCTTACTCGTCAAACATCATGGTCACCATGGCTGGCACAATGACACACCACCCGTGTGACCAAACCACTTTGCAGTCAGAAATACCCGCGTGTTAAACCAGACTAGAGACTGAAGCAATTTGATGCAATCGTAAGATGGCTGCCACCACACTCAAAAGCTGACATATATTCAAGTGGTAATTCAAACTAAACTTTAGTTTGAAAATAATATTAGTCTGTTTGCATTAGTTTTTTAAACTTTGCTATTAAAATACATTTTCAGGTGACAGTGGTCCTTTAAGAGGCTGATATAATCACTGCGGACAAAACATGGGTGTAGAATAATCTTTAAATGTCTCTCTACACAGCTGTGGGTTCCATAAGAAATCCAGTCTTATTTGCAGGGGTTTATTCACTAAACTCTTCTATATCTGATTTGAGAAATGCTAAATATTTGTCTAAAAGAATCAAACTGGAACATTTGCATGATTATTTTGCACTTAAATTTCCCTTTCCATGATTCCTGTGTTTAGTACATGTCTTGACACAAATGGGGGGCTGTAAAAGCTTTGGTAATTTTGGTGGTCCAGAAGTAACAGTAACAGAATATTTACTAAATTCAGAATTTTCACATTTAATCCTAAAAGCAAAAAAAATGCCTATGTGACTATGGCTGAACTGGAGAATTTTACAGATCAATTGTTTTTGAGTAAATTTTAACATTAAAACTTTAATTTATGAAAATTCGAACTTTAGTAAATAATCCTGTGAATTTTTCTGTTTTCTCCAGCACTATTTTGCTACTATTTAGTATTTATGGGGAAACTATAGGCACCCAGACTTTTTCATCCCCATGCAGTGGTCTTGGTGTAGTGGCTCTGTAAATTTTGGTCTTACTAAGTCAAACACTGCAATTTCTGAGATATTTTCATTGCAGAGCTATGGCAAAGGCAAAGGCAAAGGAAAGGTTTTTTTACTGTAAGAACAATCAGGATGTGGAATTCTCTGCCTGAAGAAGTGGTTTTATCAGAGTCCATACAGATGTTCAAACAGCTACTAGATGCATACTTGCAAAAACAGAATATTCAAGGATATAATCTTTCAATGTAGGATAATAACTGCTTGATCCAAGGATAAATCTGACTGCCATTCTGGGGTCAAGAAGGAATTTTTTTCCTAGCTTGTTGCAAAATTGTGCTTCAAACTGTTTGTTTTTTTTGCCTTCTTTTGGATCAACAGCAAAAAACAAATGTGAGGAAGGCTGAACTTGATGGACGCAAGTCTCTTTTCAGCTATGTAACTATGTAACTATGTAACACCATTAGTGGCTGATGGCCGTTAGAGATGCTTCTGCTGCTATAACAGCGTCAGATTTCGGTTATGTGACTTTCGATGTCTTCACACATTACATGACAATGTCAAACGCCCTCTTAAACTGATCATAGGGAAGTACTGGATTAAATGCATTTTTTTCCCTTTCCTAAAATTTAATTTAGGTGCCCTCTACAGGGTTGAACAGTATAGCGTAAGAATCCGTATTTGTATTCCCACAGCTATTTACTTATTATTGGTCCACTTCCTTTCTTCCAGTCCATAATATTGTTATTCCGATAAACCCCTAATCTCTCATCTAATGTATGTAAGTCTCCCATATCTGCCATGATTTCCAGGGTCATGTCACCTATGCATACTGATTGGCAGCATGTGGAGAGTGCTGCCCTGCAGTATGTACAATTCAAATGCTGCCGGTGAGGAATCTTTTTTCACGTGTTGCCAAATAACATGAAGTGATATGCGTTCAGTGAAACATGGTGGTTGTGGAAACCCTAGCTATATTCCCAACACATGTTTACATTAGGGCCTTCTCTTTTTGATGACTAGGCACGAATTACTGTTAACACATGTTGTCTCTTTTGCCTTCTATGGTATTTTGTTGTTTGCCTTTAAACCTAAATATAAAGATTTAAAAAATCCCTTCGACTGTCTCAATAAACGCTTGTTTGTTTGTCTTTTCCAATTATTTTAATTATTCCACCGAGCACTCGAGAGGTAATCTAGCTCTTCAGCTAATTTACTTCGCTCCAATTACGAGCCAAATAATATGACTTTAAGAGGCATGTAAAAACACATAAAGGGAAATCATTTTTAATATTCGTGCCGATAACTGCCTTGGATTATATGAAAAGTTGTAAGGGAAAAGTATAAATGGATGTATTCACTAAATTGTGAATTGCGCCCCAAAATAGCCAAACTGCAAAACTCATGATATCAACCTCTCATAATCAGCTATCTATCTGGAGGTTTTAAATAAGTTTGTGCTATACAATATACAGTTGAGCTCAAAAACATTTAGCATCAATGACCACATGCAGTCTTTTGTAATAGTTGTCTATGAGGCCCCTAATTCTTGCAGGTGGTATAGCTGCACATTCGTCTTTGCAAAATGCCTCCAGGTCATGCAAAGTAGTTGGTCGTGTTGTATGAACCGCACGTTTGAGATCTCCCCAGGGTGGCTCGATGATATTAAATGGATCATAAACAAACCTGTTTTCCTGGCACTATAGGGTCATGCTCCGCCCACGCTCCTCCCTACCAACGTCAGCAGGGGAGACCTGATGCGCATGCACAGCAATGGCCGCGTGTGCATAATACCTCCCCACAGGGAAGCATTATACAATGCTTTCCTACGGGGAAAATCTGACGCTGGAGGTCCGTGAGGAAAATGTAAATATTGCATGTAATGGACCGTTTTGCACACAAGGGGTAAAAACGGTTTAGGCGATCGTCCCCTTCCAGAGATGCAGGCACAGCTACTGCAGAACACCAATCCGCCGAACAGGAAACCATACAAATGCTGTAAACAGCCAAATAGGAAAAACCATATGAATAGGTTTACACTCCTAGCAATCGAACTGGAACAGCATAGAATAAATCCCCCCAAGAACGAGACAAAGCTCCGTGTTGAGGGTCAAGCAGTGAACAGACAAAGCTGTGGGTTTATTGTGCTTATGTACACATTCTTACACATTAGTACCACCCACAGGGTTTTGGAACACAACCAATAAACACATATAATACACTCAGACACTCCCACACAAATTCCTCCCCTCTGCCTGTGATACAATTACCTTACACAATGGGTAATGTAATTTAGCACAAGCAGAGAAATACAATTTTTCCACATTATTCATAACTTGAAAAGTATGCATCACATTCACATTTCAGAATCAGCATACTGCAAATACAAACATACATCACAATCATACAAATTGGTCCAGTGGTTCAAAAGATAGATCGTAGTCCTTTGTGACCACAGGAAGCATGGCTTTTCTGCCCAAAACCAGTTCCACAGAGTCTTCTATCCTGGAGATAATTAGAAGTAATCCAATTATCTCCAAAGACAGAGGCAAAACTCCATTGAACACATGGCAGCAAAAAGACAGTAAAATACAATAAAATACACAATGTTACATTTATGACATAAAATACAGACATGCAACATATGCCCAGATAGCTTAGGTCTAAGCGCACATTATTACTGAATGGCGCTCAGAGCACACACATACAGTTCAATTGCCATGGAGCCAAAGTCTTTCCCATAGTCTTTCATTATACGAATGGGCTCCATGGCATAGCTATCTGGGGTATCACTGCTCAAACAGGGCAAGCACCAAATGACCCGGCTGTCTTGTCTTTGCAGGGGAAAATCAAGCCTTTTAACATGGGGCCATAATCCAAAGGCAACAGGCGAGCAACCAGGCTTCTCCAATGCAATGTGGCGAGAATTGCTCTCGTCACATTGCAGTTCTCTGGAACTCTCTGGAATGTTTTACACTGCAGCACTAAATGCAAAAGGGTCACAGCACCCGGACTACTTCAATTAGCTGAAGTGGTCTGGGTGCCTACAGTGTCCCTTTAAGGTCAGGAGACTGTGATGGCCACTCCAGAACCTTCACCTTTTTCTGCTGTAACCACTAGAGCGTCATTGTCATGCTGGAAAGTCCATGACAGCCTTTGTGCAGAAGAATGCAAATTGTCTGCCAGTATTTTCTCATAACATGCTACATTCATGTTGCCATCAATTTTCACAAGATTCCCTGTGCCTTAAGAGCTCACACCTCCCCAAAACATCAGTGAGCCACAAACCATGCTTCACAGTGGGGATGAAATTCTTTTCACTATAGGCTTGTTGACGTCTCTACAAACATAGCTCTTATGGTTGTTACCATAAAGCTCTATTTTGGTCTCGTCACACAAAATTACAGTGTGCCAGAAGCTGTGAGGGGCGTCAACGTGTTGTCGGGAATATTGTAACCTTTTTTTTTGTGGCATTGGTGCAGTAAAGGCTTCTTTCTGGCAACACGACCGTGAAACACCACCACCAACTTTTTCCGGAGCAGCCTGTATTTCTCCTGAGGTTACCTGTGGGTTTGTCTTTGTATCCTGAGCAATTTTCTGGCAGTTGTGGCTGAAACCTTTCTTGGTTTACCTGACCTTGGTTTGGTGTCAAGAGATCCCTGAATTTTCCACTTCTTAAGTTATTGAACAGTACTGACTGGCATTTTCAAGGCTTTGGATATCTTTTTATATCCTTTTCATCTTTATAAAGTTCCATTACCTTGTTACGCAGGTCTTTTGACAGTTCTTTTATGCTTCCCATGGCTCAGTATCTAGCCTGCTCAGTGCATCCACATGAGAGCTAACAAACTCATTGACTATTTATACACAGACACTAATTGCAATTTAAAAAGCCAGAGGTTTAACCTTTAATTGCCATTTTAATCTGTGTGTGTCACCTTGTATGTCTGTAACAAGGCCAAACATTCAAGAGTATGTAAACTTTTGATCAGGGCCATTAGGGTGATTTCTGTTTTCATTAGGATAGCCAAAAAACTATGTTATAATAAATGGCTTCTTCTGATCACTATCTTTTAATAAAATAATTTCTTGGGAATGATCAGTCATATTTCCAAAATCAATGCCAAATTTCACCATTTCTCCCAGGGTATGCAAACTTTTGAGCACAGCTGTATAATAAAAATATATTCACCTTATACATTGTTGTGTTTGCTGCATATCCTTATGGATTGCAGCTTCTGCAGTAAGCTATGCCCTAGCCGGGAAACGACTCAGTCAATTCTGATGCTCTAACAGGAGTATACATAGTCCAGCACTAAGCAGCAGTTCCATTTACCAGATGAGATGAATGGATCTCCTCCCTAAACTATTAGTACTTAAACCACGGCTACAATCAGCTTACTGATCATGCATCCATGTAAGTATATCCTCCTGTGCAGTTTGTCAGTGGAGAAAGCAGAATACTACTGAGGAAGTGCCAGTGTTAGAGGCACAACGCGTCCATTTTTAGTTTGTCGGCCTGTTTTTTACTGTCTGTTTATATATTACGGTCTGCTTTACTGCCACGTATAAACAAATGGATCAATAAACTTCCATGTCAAAATGTATGGGGTATTATATGAGTGCGGCTATTTTTACTTTTTTGTTTACTGGTCAAGTGTGGAACCCAAATGCCAGCGCCACTGATGCCCAGCAATAGAGTTGGCCTGAGTACAACCATTCCAGTATGGATTAGCATTTTAGTTAAACATTAACGATTTGGCAAACTTCCTAAGTAGCCTAGGTGAAAAATAAATCCTAAAAATTATTACAAGTTCCTAGCAACATGCAGATCATACCAACAATGTACATATCACTTTATAATCTATACTTGCACTGTAATCACTAGTGGCACAATAAGAGCCTTTCACAAAAAGTTGCATTAATATCTATAATATCTATAGCTATTTGAACATCTTCCACCAGAAATGTAATTAACAATGGGTTAATGAGGAAAGTTAGCTAATGCCAAAATTTACATAGGCTATGTATACAGTAATAAACGCCAATATATTACTTCTGAGATTTTCCATTCCGCTTTCCCGTTGCAAACGAACATTAGAGGACATGCTGTGCATGCTTTCCATAAGGCTGACGGAAGTGTGGGGATCCCTTTGGTACGATTTCAAAGCATGCTCACACCCCTGCCATAGTGTAGGAGTAATATGCTAAAGGCAGAGATGGAGTGTCTCTTTGAAGTTGCTCCAGAGGGATCCCTATTTTTCGTCACCCTGTAACGAGAAGAGGAGATCTGAGAACTAAAAATAATTTGAGGGCTTTCAGATTTTTTTTTTTTAAAAGCTAAAAAGTCAAATAGTCACTTGTTTCATTGTAGTACAATCCAAGTCAACTAAAATAATACACACTTATTTAAATGAAAGAGCATTAAATAGCATCTAAACCAGGGGTGGCCAAAGGGTAGGTGCCCAGATGTTTATACAACTACATCTTCCATGATGCTTTGCCATTCTAAATGCATTCTTAAAGCATGCAAAGCATTATGGGCGTTGTAGTTCTACAACATCTATAGATCTACATTTTGGGCTGCCTTTGATCTTAACATTTTGCTAGCTAATGTATACATTTTAATTGAAAGGTTTTTAAAATGTTGGGCCCTCCCCCACTTGTCAATCAGCTCTTGGAATAGACCTTTCTAGCTGGTGGCATACAGGTCTAAAGCAAGGGTTGAATGACAGGGTAGAAATAAAGGACTCTCCCTCAGGGGGTTCTCCTGTTCATGGAATATAAGTAGGGAGAGACTGATGTCACTCAATTTTCTCGCTAATGTTCTGGCACTGAGGCCAGAATGCCGTCATCATCGAGATGTATTGCCCTGCTTGGGGACGTGTCTTCCATTATGGCCATTCGCTGTTCAGAGGGAGGAAGACAGGATCTGAGGGTGGGTGTTAGAACAGTATATTATCCATGAAAATGGCAGTAATCTAGCAAAGGGCAGCAGGTTAGTAAGTAAATAAAAACTCCCACAGCAATTAAATATATATATAATTAATTTTTAAAGTTACATATTTGTTGGTTTGGGAGCTGTTGAACCTAGCATAACAGGCTCCTGTAAATGAAATTAGTTTTTTTTAAGGGACACTATAGTCCTTAGAATCCCTACAGCTTAATGTGTTGGATCTTGGGCATATAGCCTGTCCTTGCAAGCTCAGTTATGTAAACGCCGCCTTTTCTGAGAAAATAGCTTCACGTTCATTACGACAAGCACTAGAGGGACTTCCTGGGTTCAGTCCTGCAGAGATTGAAGGACTGACTTTCAATGTCTCCACACTCTGCATGGAGACTCTGAACACTAGTCATGGAGATGCACTGACTCAATGCATCTCTATGAGGAGAAGATTATTATTATTATTGCCATTTATATTGCGCCAACAGATTCCGTAGCGCTTTAGAATATTATGAGAGGGGGGATTTAACTATAAATAGGACAATTACAAGAAAACTTACAGGAACGATAGGTTGAAGAGGACACTGCTCAAACACGTTTACAGTCTATAGGAATGGTGCATTGGTTTACCTGAGGTCATCAGTATTGATGATCTCAGCTGGGCAGGTAAGGCGACCACATGGAAACCAAAGTGACAGGGAATAAAGATGAATAAAACTTTTTTTTAATTAATTCTTTGGGGGGACAGAATCTAAATCGTCACTAGAACACTATATAGGAATACATAAAGTGTGTTGTATTACCAGTGTTCCTTTAATTACATTGTATGGAAGACTGGCCTGGCACAGAAAAAGCACACAATGTAAATTTATTTAACACCCATGGTACCATGCAGCATCATAGGTGGTTGACTTTGCCAGCACCATAGAATCTTAAGGAGGTAAGTGTGCTTCACACTTACCCCACCATACAAACTGCATTTTTCTGGAGTAACGGAATAATGAAATGTCAACTTCAGAGACATGACTAATCCTCTTTAATGTTATTGATGCTAAAATTGCTACTTTCTTTTTAACTGATAATTTGCATCTAATCCTCCACGTGCCAAGGGATTGGATGAAAGGTGCTCAAAAAGTTTAAAGGCATTCTGCAAGCGTCATAACCACTACAACCTGCTTGAAATGTAATTTTTTTTTAAAAACTATTGGTTGAAATTAGTAAAGTTCTGTCAAATGTTTTGTTTTTCGAAACTTACACATGATTTTAAAAGCTACACCATCATGACTGGGGGATGTTACCATTCTTATTCCCCACTATATATTTCACCCCCCAACTTCCTATAGCCATGTGCGTCCCTATAAATGTTTATGATATAAAGCTTCTAACCTTGTCTGCGGGCATTGGCTGGACAGTTTGAAGAATCCTGAGAAGGATGGACGCTGAGCTGGAAGGTCGCTCGAGATTTGCTGGTCCTGGGGAAATATCTCCTTGTACCGGTGGAGTTTGCCATATCTGCTAAGAAAGATTGCAGATAGATAAAGCTGAACTAGGGTCAGAATGCGAAAGAGAACAGGGACTCCAAGTTCAGTGGGCAAAGTTATAGAGAATACACAGACAAGAAAAGGTCACACAGGCACCAGACGCTGTGTGATGCTAAGCGGGTCCAGAAAAGAACAAGGGTGTAGAAAGACTATGCTTAAAAACAAAAAGACCATAGAGGTTTCCTCAATCGGTCTGTTTGGCTATATAAAGTTATTTCTATGGTAAGAAGGTATTATTTTATCTTATGACCCTCCTTTCGGAATACATACTGAAGCAGAGTCTAAATGTAAATGAGTTACCGGTACTTTGCGTAAGTGATTTGACGGTTGAATGCCCTTCAATAAAATGACGTAGCCATACCAATCCAATAGGCTTTCTGATAATGCAACCAGACAGAAATGCCTTTACAAATAATAATGGGAAGGCAGCAAATACATTTACACAATGATGTTAAAATGCGATACATACAGGGAAAATAAAAAATAAAATGAAAAGCTAGAATTTAAAACTAAAACAAACACATCAGGTTTACTTTAAATATTTTAATGGGCAGAGTGCACTCTAGGCCTTCCAAGGGGGCAAAGTCATAGCAACACAGCAGTGGAGGTAAGTACGCTTTTTTAATTTACCGCCTCTGTTTTATTCACCCCAGTAAAAGAGCATTAGCATTTACTACGGTGAAGGAAAAGAAACGGTGACTTCTCTAGATGTGAAAGTTCCTCTGAATGAAACTTTATTTATGGGATTGTCTACCACCTAAACAATGATCATGTCATGGGCTCATGGTGGGTTATTAGATTAGGAGGGAGCAGGTGGTGGGTTATTAGATTAGGATGGAGCAGGTGGTTAATTATTAGATTAGGATGGAGAAGGTGGTGAGTTATTCGATTTGGATGGAGCAGGTGGTGGGTGATTAGATTAGGATGGAGAAGGTGGTGAGTGATTAGATTAGGATGGAGCAGGTGGTGGGTTATTAGATTAGGATGGAGCAGGTGGTGGGTTATTAGATTAGGATGGAGCAGGTGGTGGGTTATTAGATTAGGATGGAGCAGGTGGTGGGTTATTAGATTAGGAGGGAGCAGGTGGTGGGTTATTAGATTAATAGGGAGCAGGTGGTGGGTTATTAGATTAGTAGGGAGCAGTTGGTGAGTTATTAGATTAATAGGGAGCAGATGGTGGGTTATTAGATTGGGAGGGGGCAGGTGGTGGGTTATTAGATTAGTAGGGAGCAGTTTGTGAGTTATTAGATTAATAGGGAGCAGATGGTGGGTTATTAGATTGGGAGGGGGCAGGTGGTGGGTTATTAGATTGGGAGGGGGCAGGTGGTGGGTTATTAGATTAGTAGGGAGCAGTTGGTGAGTTATTAGATTAATAGGGAGCAGTTGGTGGGTTATTAGATTAGGAGGGAGGAGGTGGTGGGTTATTAGAGTAAGAGGGAGCAGGTGAAGGGTTATAAGATTAGGAGGGAGCAGGTGGTGGGTTATAAGATTAGGAGGGAGCAGGTGGTGGGTTATTAGATTAGGAGGGAGCAGGTGGTGGGTTATTAGATTAGGAGGGAGCAGGTGGTGGGTTATTAGATTAGTAGGGAGCAGGTGGTGGGTTATTAGAGTAAGAGGGAGAAGGTGAAGGGTTATAAGATTAAGAGGGAGCAGGTGGTGGGTTATTAGATTAGGAGGGAGCAGGTGGTGGGTTATTAGATTAGGAGGGAGCAGGTGGTGCGTTATTAGATTAATAGGGAGGGAGTGGTGGGTTATTAGATGGAGGGTGCAGGTAGTAGATTATTAGATTAGGAGGGAGCAGGTGGTGAGTTATTAGATTAATAGGGAGGAGGTGGAGGGTTATTAGATGGAGGGTGCAGGTGGTGGATTATTAGATTAAAAGAGTGCAGGTGGTAGATTGTTAGAGTAGGAGGGAGCAGGTGAAGGGTTATAAGATTAAGAGGGAGCAGGTGGTGGGTTATAAGATTAGGAGGGAGCAGGTGGTGGGTTATTAGATTAGGAGGGAGCAGGTGGTGGGTTATTAGATTAATAGGGAGCAGGTGGTGGGTTATTAGATTAATAGGGAGCAGGTGGTGGGTTAGTAGATTAATAGGGAGCAGGTGGTGGGTTATTAGATTAAGAGGGTGCAGGTGGTGGGTTATAAGATTAGGAGGGTGCAGGTGGTGGGTTATTAGATTAATAGGGAGCAGGTGGTGGGTTATTAGATTAGTAGGGAGCAGTTGGTGAGTTATTAGATTAGTAGGGAGCAGGTGGTGGGTTATTAGATTAAGAGGGTGCAGGTGGTAGATTATTAGAGTAGGAGGGGTCAGGGTGGGTTATTGCACTAGGACTGTGCAAGGAGTGGGTATTAGATCAGGAGAGAGCAGGGGGTGGGTTATAAGATTAGAGGGGAGCAGATAATGAGATTTACATACCATGGTGCTGGGATTGAGATCAGGAAGGAGAAGGTGCTGGAACTTTCATTTTGAGTGAGCAAGTGGTAAGAATTAGGCCAGGAGGGAGCAGGTGCTTAGATTTTGATCAGGTGGGAGACGTTGTTGGAATCTAGGTCAGGAGAAAGCAGGAGGCGGGTTATTAGATGAAGAGGAAGCAGGTGGTGGACTATTAGTTTAGAAGGTACTAGGGGTGGGTTATAGGATTATTAAGAAGGTGCTGGGATAATACAAACAATGGAAATAAGGACGTAGGTGTTGGAATTTCAGATCAGGGACAGCAGGTGCTTGGTAACAAATGGAAAAAACTGATTCTGGTGTAGCATAGCAGGTGCTGAGATTTAGACGAGGAGGAAGCAGGTGATGGGTTTGAGATTATGGAAGCAGGTGATGGGTTTGAGATTATGGAAGCAGGTGATGGGTTTGAGATTATGGGAGCAGGTGATGGGTTTGAGATTATGGAAGCAGGTGATGGGTTTGAGATTATGGGAGCAGGTGATGGGTTTGAGATTATGGGAGCAGGTGATGGGTTTGAGATTATGGGAGCAGGTGATGGGTTTGAGATTATGGGAGCAGGTGATGGGTTTGAGATTATGGGAGCAGGTGATGGGTTTGAGATTATGGGAGCAGGTGATGGGTTTGAGATTATGGGAGCAGGTGATGGGTTTGAGATTATGGGAGCAGGTGATGGGTTTGAGATTATGGGAGCAGGTGATGGGTTTGAGATCAGGGGAGCAGGTGATGGGTTTGAGATCAGGGGAGCAGGTGATGGGTTTGAGATCAGGGGAGCAGGTGATGGGTTTGAGATCAGGGGAGCAGGTGATGGGTTTAAGATCAGTGGAGCAGGTGATGGGTTTAAGATTATGGAAGCAGGTGATGGGTTTAAGATTATGGAAGCAGATGACAGGTAACAAATGGAAACCTGATTCCAGGGTATCCTATCAGGAAGGATTGGGAGTCAGTAACTAATAAGGAGAAGTTGTTAGGGTATCAGATCAGGGGAAACATTTGCTGGGGAGGCAGGTACTGTGTAGATTACTGCACAATTCCCTTTCAGTTGCATCGAACAAATAGATTTATTCGTGTTTACCTAATGAAACAGTTTGTCTGTCCATAGGTTGACACAGTTGAAAGGGATTTGTACATGTGTCTAGCGCTGTGTATTAAATCAGGAGAAGCAGGTAACAAATAATGGGGGGGAGGAAGGTGCTAGGGGTCAGGTAGCAGGTAATTGGGTGTTAGATAAGAGACATGAATAGGTGCTAGTGTATCACATCAAAGAGCTGTAAGGGTGTTAGGTTACAAATTGAGATAGGACACTTTTGGCTTATACAAGCTGGGAGGGTCAGATAATAGGGTAACGGCAGAGGGAGCGGACATTGGAAAATGAGTTAAGAAAGAAACATGTGGTGAGGTATGACATCAAGGAGAAGCAGGTAATAGATACCTGAGAAGGTCCAAACATGTTCCGTAACAGACGGTAGAGGTGAATATTGGGGGGTGTCAATCTTGTGGTATCATATGAGGTGAAATGTTTTAGGATATCAGAGTTGCAGATTGTGGGGTATTAGAGAATGGAAGGTTTGGGGTATCAGAACAGTGCGGTGAAAGTGTTGGGAAATCAGATCAAGGTGAAGGTCTTGTATAACAAAACTGGAGGTATGTGTGTGAGATCAGTGGGTGCATTTGTATCAGATAAGGAGGGCCAGGTTCTGTTAGGCTTGCTTGGTCACTGTTAGAGAGGGTGATTAGATCAGTGGGTGCATTTGTATCAGATAAGGAGGGCCAGGTTCTGTTAGAGGGGGTGATTAGATCAGTGGGTGCATTTGTATCAGATAAGGAGGGCCAGGTTCTGTTAGAGAGGGTGATTAGACTGGGGAAGTGGGCGTACGTATCAGATGTGGGTTATGGGCCAGGTTCTGTTAGGAGGGGGGGTGATTAGATCAGTAAGTGCATTTGTATCAGATAAGGAGGGCTAGGCTCTGTTAGGCTTGCTTGCTCACTGTTAGAGGGGGTGATTAGATCAGTAAGTATTTGTATCAGATGGGCGAGGGCTGTGGTTCTGCTTAGAGGGGGTGCATTAGATCATTGCGCATTTGTATCAGATAAGGAGGGCCAGGTTCTGTTAGGAGGGGCATTAGATCAGTGGGCATTTGTATCAAAGATAAGGAGTGGGCCAGGTTCTGCTAGGAGGTGATTAGATCAGTGGGTGCATTTGTATCAGATAAGGAGGGCCAGGTTCTGTTAGAGGGGGTGATTAGATCATTGGGTGCATTTGTATCAGATAAGGAGGGCCAGGTTCTGTTAGAGGGGGTGATTAGATCAGTGGGTGCATTTGTATCAGATAAGGAGGGCCAGGTTCTGTTAGAGAGGGTGATTAGATCAGTGGGTGCATTTGTATCAGATAAGGAGGACCAGGTTCTGTTAGAGAGGGTGATTAGATCAGTGGGTGCATTTGTATCAGATAAGGAGGGCCAGGTTCTGTTAGAGAGGGTGATTAGATCAGTGGGTGCATTTGTATCAGATAAGGAGGGCCAGGTTCTGTTAGGCTTGCTTGGTCACTAATATAGGGGGTGATTAGATCAGTGGGTGCATTTGTATCAGATAAGGAGGGCCAGGTTCTGTTAGGCTTGCTTGGTCACTGTTAAAGGGGGTGATTAGATCAGTGGGTGCATTTGTATCAGATAAGGAGGGCCAGGTTCTGTTAGGCTTGCTTGGTCACTGTTAGAGGGGGTGATTAGATCAGTGGGTGCATTTGTATCAGATAAGGAGGGCCAGGTTCTGTTAGAGGGGGTGATTAGATCAGTGGGTGCATTTGTATCAGATAAGGAGGGCCAGGTTCTGTTAGAGAGGGTGATTAGATCAGTGGGTGCATTTGTATCAGATAAGGAGGGCCAGGTTCTGTTAGGGAGGGTGATTAGATCAGTGGGTGCATTTGTATCAGATAAGGAGGGCCAGGTTCTGTTAGAGGGGGTGATTAGATCATTGGGTGCATTTGTATCAGATAAGGAGGGCCAGGTTCTGTTAGAGGGGGTGATTAGATCAGTGGGTGCATTTGTATCAGATAAGGAGGGCCAGGTTCTGTTAGAGGGGGTGATTAGATCATTGGGTGCATTTGTATCAGATAAGGAGGGCCAGGTTCTGTTAGAGAGGGTGATTAGATCAGTGGGTGCATTTGTATCAGATAAGGAGGGCCAGGTTCTGTTAGAGGGGGTGATTAGATCAGTGGGTGCATTTGTATCAGATAAGGAGGACCAGGTTCTGTTAGGCTTGCTTGGTCACTGTTAGAGGGGGTGATTAGATCAATGGGTGCAGTATTTGGGGTTTTAGCTCAGGTTATGGCTATACAGGTATATCAGGCCAGGTGGTGCATGTATTAGGGCTGTTGGCTCAGGGTATGGGGTGCAGTATTTTGGGGTGTTAGCTCATAGTGTGTGATCAGCAATTGAGGTGTTCGCTTAGGGGGTGCAGAGTTTGGAGTGAAGGTGTATCCTATAAAGGGCTGCGGTAATTGTGAGGGACAGCTCGGGGGGTAACTGTGTGTCAGATCAGCGGGTGCGGTAACTGAGAATTATATTAGGGGGGGAGGGGGGCGGCAGGTGTTGGAGTGTCAGATCAGCAGGTGCGGGGCTTGGGGTGTCAGATCAGGGGTGCTGCCGCCGCCGCTGTTACTGTCGGTGCCCGGTATGGCTGCCGCCGCTGTTACTGTCGGTGCCCGGTATGGCTGCCGCCGCTGTTACTGTCGGTGCCCGGTATGGCTGCCGCCGCTGTTACTGTCGGTGCCCGGTATGAATGTCGGTGCCCGGTATGGCTGCCGCCGTTACTTAGTCCGCACTCCGCCGCCATCTCCCGGTACCGGAGTCTCCGGTCCTTACCTGCCGGGCCGCTGCTCTCGGTCATGCGCTGAACTTCTCTCCGCCCCCGGAACCCGAACTCTCGCGGTACTGAGAGAGGGGAACCGGGGGCAGCACCGGGGGAGGGGGAGAGGAGCCCCTCATACTGTATCATCATAATAATAATAATAAATATATAATATAATATAATATAATAATACATTATCTCATAAAACACCATCCACATAGTCCAAATCCGTGATATCTCATATAATATAGTCTGTCTGTCATATATCACACAGTCTGTGTCTGTCATATATCACACAGTTTGTGTCCTGTCCTATATCACACAGTCTGTGTCTGTCATATATCACACAGTCTGTGTCTGTCATATATCACACAGTTTGTGTCCTGTCATATATCACACAGTCTGTGTCTGTCATATATCACACAGTCTATGTCTGTCATATATCACACAGTCTGTGTCTGTCATATATCACACAGTCTGTGTCTGTCATATATCACACAGTCTGTGTCTGTCATATATCATACAGTGTGTATCTGTCATATACCACACAGTGTGTGTCTGTCATATATCACACAGTGTGTGTCTGTCATATATCACACAGTCTGTGTCTGTCATATATCACAGTCAGTCTGTGTCCTGTCATATATCACACAGTTTGTGTTCTGTCATATATCACACAGTCTGTGTCTGTCATATATCATACAGTCAGTCTGTGTCTGTCATATATCACAGTCAGTCTGTGTCCTGTCATATATCACACAGTTTGTGTTCTGTCATATATCACACAGTGTGTGTCCTGACATATATCACACAGTGTGTGTCCTGACATATATCACACAGTCTGTGTCCTGTCATATATCATACAGTGTGTGTCTGTCATATATCATACAGTCTGTGTGTGTCCTGTCATATATCACACAGTCAGTCTGTGTCCTGTCATATATCACACAGTCTGTGTCTGTCATATATCACACAGTCTGTGTCCTGTCATATATCACACAGTCTGTGTCTGTCATATATCACACAGTCTGTGTCCTGACATATATCACACAGTCTGTGTCCTGTCATATATCACACAGTCTGTGTCTGTCATATATCATACAGTCTGTGTCCTGTCATATATCACACAGTGTGTGTCTGTCATATATCACACAGTCTGTGTCTGTCATATATCACACAGTCTGTGTCCTGACATATATCACACAGTCTGTGTCCTGTCATATATCATACAGTCTGTGTCTGTCATATATCACACAGTCTGTCTGTCATATATCACACAGTCTGTCTGTCATATATCACAGTCAGTCTGTGTCCTGTCATATATCACACAGTTTGTGTTCTGTCATATATCACACAGTGTGTGTCCTGACATATATCACACAGTGTGTGTCCTGACATATATCACACAGTCTGTGTCCTGTCATATATCACACAGTCTGTGTCGTGTCATATATCATACAGTGTGTGTCTGTCATATATCATACAGTCTGTGTGTGTCCTGTCATATATCACACAGTCTGTGTCTGTCATATATCACACAGTCTGTGTCTGTCATATATCACACAGTCTGTGTCTGTCATATATCATACAGTCTGTGTCCTGTCATATATCACACAGTCTGTGTCTGTCATATATCACACAGTCTGTGTCTGTCATATATCACACAGTCTGTGTCCTGTCATATATCACACAGTGTGTGTCTGTCATATATCACACAGTCTGTGTCCTGTCATATATCACACAGTCTGTGTCCTGACATATATCACACAGTCTGTGTCCTGTCATATATCACACAGTCTGTGTCTGTCATATATCACACAGTCTGTCTGTCATATATCACACAGTTTGTGTTCTGTCATATATCACACAGTGTGTGTCCTGACATATATCACACAGTCTGTGTCCTGTCATATATCATACAGTGTGTGTCTGTCATATATCATACAGTCTGTGTGTGTCCTGTCATATATCACACAGTCTGTGTCTGTCATATATCATACAGTCTGTGTCCTGTCATATATCACACAGTCTGTGTCCTGCCATATATCACACAGTCTGTGTCTGTCATATATCATACAGTCTGTGTCCTGTCATATATCACACAGTCTGTGTCCTGTCATATATCACACAGTGTGTGTCTGTCATATATCACACAGTGTGTGTCTGTCATATATCACACAGTGTGTGTCTGTCATATAGCACACAGTCTGTGTCTGTCATATATCACACAGTCTGTGTCCTGTCATATATCATACAGTGTGTGTCTGTCATGTATCATACAGTCTGTGTGTGTCCTGTCATATATCACACAGTCTGTGTCTGTCATATATCACACAGTCTGTGTGTGTCCTGTCATATATCACACAGTCTGTGTCTGTCATATATCATACAGTCTGTGTCTGTCATATATCATACAGTCTGTGTCCTGTCATATATCACACAGTTTGTGTTCTGTCATATATCACACAGTATGTGTTTGTCATATATCACACAGTCAGTCTATGTCCTGTCATATATCATACAGTCTGTGTCTGTCATATATCACACAGTCTGTGTCCTGTCATATATCATACAGTCTGTGTCTGTCATATATCACACAGTCAGTCTATGTCCTGTCATATATCATACAGTCTGTGTCTGTCATATATCACACAGTCTGTGTCCTGTCATATATCATACAGTCTGTGTCTGTCATATATCACACAGTCAGTCTATGTCCTGTCATATATCATACAGTCTGTGTCTGTCATATATCACACAGTCTGTGTCCTGTCATATATCATACAGTCTGTGTCTGTCATATATCACACAGTCAGTCTATGTCCTGTCATATATCATACAGTCTGTGTCTGTCATATATCACACAGTCTGTGTCCTGTCATATATCATACAGTCTGTGTCTGTCATATATCACACAGTCTGTCTGTCATATATCACACAGTCTGTGTCTGTCATATATCATACAGTCTGTGTCCTGTCATATATCATACAGTCTGTCTCCTGTCATATATCACACAGTGTGTGTCCTGTCATATATCACACAGTCTGTGTCCTGTCATATATCACACAGTCTGTTTGTGTCCTCTCATATATCACACAGTCTGTGTCTGTCATATATCATACAGTCTGTGTCCTGTCATATATCACACAGTCTGTGTCCTGTCATATATCACACAGTCTGTGTCTGTCATATATCACACAGTCTGTGTCTGTCATATATCATACAGTGTGTGTCCTGTCATATATCACACAGTATGTGTCTGTCATATATCACACAGTATGTGTCTGTCATATATCATACAGTCTGTGTCCAGTCATATATCACACAGTCTATGCCTATCATAAATCAGTCAGTCTGTCTGTCATACATCATACAGTCAGTCTGTGTCTGGCATATATCATACAGTGTGTGTCCTGTCACATATCACAGTCTGTGTCTGACATATATCACACAGTCAGTCTGTGTCTGTCATATATCATACAGTCAGTGTGTGTCCTGTCATATATCACACAGTGTGTGTCTGTCATATATCATACAGTCAGTCTGTGTCCTGTCATATATCACGCAGTCTGTGTTCTGTCATATATCACACAGTCAGTCTGTGTCCTGTCATATATCACACAGTCAGTCTGTGTCTGTCATATATCATACAGTCAGTGTGTGTCCTGTCATATATCACACAGTGTGTGTCTGTCATATATCATACAGTCAGTCTGTGTCCTGTCAAATATCACACAGTTTGTGTTCTGTCATATATCACACGGTCAGTCTGTGTCCTGTCATATATCACACAGTCTGTGTCTGTCATATATCATACAGTGTGTATCTGTCATATTCTACACAGTCTGTGTCTGTCATATATCACACAGTCTTTGTCTGTCATATATCATATAGTGTGTGTCTGTCATATATCATACAGTGTGTGTCTGTCATATATCACACAGTCTGTGTCTGTCATATATCATACAGTCAGTCTGTGTCCTGTCATATATCACAGTCAGTCTGTGTCCTGTCATATATCACACAGTTTGTGTTCTGTCATATATCACACAGTTTGTGTCTGTCATATATCACACAGTTTGTCTGTCATATATTACACAGTGTGTGTCCTGTCATATATCACACAGTGTGTGTCTGTCATATATCACACAGTCTATGTCTGTCATATATCACACAGTCTGTGTCTGTCATATATCATGCAGTGTGTATCTGTCATATACCACACAGTCTGTGTCTGTCATATACCACACAGTCTGTGTCTGTCATATATCACACAGTCTGTGTCTGTCATATTTCATACAGTGTGTGTCTGTCATATATCACACAGTCTGTGTCTGTCATATATCACACAGTCTATGTCTGTCATATATCACACAGTTTGTGTCTGTCATATATCATACAGTGTGTGTCTGTCATATATCACACAGTCTGTGTCTGTCATATATCATACAGTCAGTCTGTGTCTGTCATATATCACAGTCAGTCTGTGTCCTGTCATATATCACACAGTTTGTGTTCTGTCATATATCACACAGTCAGTCTGTGTCTGTCATATATCACGCAGTCAGTCTGTCATATATCACACAGTCTGTGTCTGTCATATATCATACAGTGTGTGTCTGTCATATATCACACAGTTTGTGTCTGTCATATATCATACAGTGTGTGTCTGTCATATATCACACAGTTTGTGTCTGTCATATATCATACAGTGTGTGTCTGTCATATATCACACAGTTTGTGTCTGTCATATATCATACAGTGTGTGTCTGTCATATATCACACAGTTTGTGTCTGTCATATATCACACAGTTTGTGTCTGTCATATATCATACAGTGTGTGTCTGTCATATATCACACAGTCCGGTCTCAGACATGGCCTTCACAGGTAGCATCTGATCCCAATAGGTAAGGTCAGTCCCAAGTAGTGTCAGAGTCGTTCAGATCAAGAGATGTCAGATAGTTGTGAGGAATGTCGGGTGCCCGTGCTATTTGGGCTTTATTTCCTTCACCATGTGACTTGTTCGGTTGGCAGTCGGACCCCCCTCATCCTATAGCTTTTTTTTTTTTTTTTTAGCCTCTTCCCTCACAGTTTTTCTTTCCTTCTTGCATTTTTTTTTCTTCAAGTTTTACTTCCTTATCATACGATGGGCCAATCCTCATTTCTTTCCAACACACATGTCCTTCACACAAAAGTGACCATGAAGTTACTTCCCTGGTCATTGATAATTGGAATGGGATATCCAAGCTCAGGGCCGGCCTTTGGGGTGTGCGAGCTGTGCGGCCGCACAGGGCGCCATGGCAACAGGGGCGCCGGGCGGCCGACACAGCTCGCAGTCGCTCTGTCACTGGCCGGCCCGAGATTGTCTGTGAGCTGAACTGCGGTTTCCGGAGCGTGGAGGAGGAGCTTGGGGGCGCAGCGCACAGGCGCAGCGTGCAAGTGCTGCGCCATCACAGAGAGCCGCGGAAGGATCCGCTCAATGTGTGAGGGCGGCGGCCGGTGCTCTGCAGACAGGGAGGAAGCAGCAGACTTCAAAGTAAGTACCTGTTCTTATTTTTTTATTTTTAATCCCAAAATCATTTCATAAAATACAGGGTCGAATTATAGGGGGCAGGGGACTTGGTAAGGGTGACCATGGGTTTAATTGAGGGGGGCAAGGGACTATGGGTGACCCTGGGTTGAATTAAGGGGGGCAGGGGACTAGGTAAGGGTGACCCTGGGTCTAATTAAGGGGGGCAGTGGACTGGGACTGGCTATGGGTGACACTGGGTCTAATTAAGGGGGGCAGGGGACTGGGACTGGCTATGGGTGACACTGGGTCTAATTAAGGGGGGCAGGGGACTGGGACTGGCTATGGGTGACACTGGGTCTAATTAAGGGGGGCACTGGGGACTGGGTCTAATTAAGGGGGGCAGGGGACTGGGACTGGCTATGGGTGACATTGGGTCTAATTAAGGGGGGCAGGGGACTGGGACTGGCTATGGGTGACACTGGGTCTAATTAAGGGGGGCAGGGGACTGGGACTGGCTATGGGTGACACTGGGTCTAATTAAGGAAGGCAGGGGACTGGGACTGGCTATGGGTGACACTGGGTCTAATTAAGGGGGGCAGGGGACTGGGACTGGCTATGGGTGACACTGGGTCTAATTAAGGGGGGCAGGGGACTGGGACTGGCTATGGGTGACACTGGGTCTAATTAAGGAAGGCAGGGGACTGGGACTGGCTATGGGTGACACTGGGTCTAATTAAGGGGGGCAGGGGACTGGGACTGGCTATGGGTGACACTGGGTCTAATTAAGGGGGCAGGGGACTGGGACTGGCTATGGGTGACACTGGGTCTAATTAAGGGGGGCAGGGGACTGGGACTGGCTATGGGTGACACTGGGTCTAATTAAGGGGGGCAGGGGACTGGGACTGGCTATGGGTGACACTGGGTCTAATTAAGGGGGGCAGGGGACTGGGACTGGCTATGGGTGACACTGGGTCTAATTAAGGGGGGCAGGGGACTGGGACTGGCTATGGGTGACACTGGGTCTAATTAAGGAAGGCAGGGGACTGGGACTGGCTATGGGTGACACTGGGTCTAATTAAGGGGGGCAGGGGACTGGGACTGGCTATGGGTGACACTGGGTCTAATTAAGGGGGGCAGGGGACTGGGACTGGCTATGGGTGACACTGGGTCTAATTAAGGGGGGCAAGGGACTGGGCATGGATGCCAGGTTATGATTAAGGGGGGCAGGGGTTTGATTAAGGGAGGCAGGGTCTGATTAAGGGGTGCAAAGGGTTGATGAAGGGGTGCAGCCTGGGGATTGATGAAGGGTACAGGGTCTGATGAATAGAGGCACGAGGCAGTATCTGATGAAGGGGGGGGCAGGGTCTGATGAAGGGGGCAAGGGTTTTATTGAAGAAGTGGCCAAGGGTTTTGGTGAAGGGGGTGAAGGCGACATATTGTGTGCCTGAAATTGTCTAGAGGGGGCCAAACAAAGACGTGGGTTTAAGAAATGAGGGAGAGGCTATACATGCTTAGTGTTGTAAAATGGTTAAATATAGTGTACTGACAACATTGCTCTTGTTTCTACAATACATAAACTGACTTTGTGGATTATACTATTAAAGTGGCACTGTCACTGTCTGGGAATTTGCCAAATGTGCAAAGACCCCCGACAGTGACATTGAAGCTGATCTATAGTTGATCTATATCTTCACTACTGTGTTAGCATGTGATTTTTATGTTGTGATTTTTATGTTTAGTTGTTCTACACATGTAATGTTATGTTTCCATGTGTTATGTTATTTAATCTATACCTGGAAATACAAGGTTTGGATGTCTTATTCATTTGATGAATACCTGCAATGCTTATTTATTTATCTATACTTTATTTGGCGCAAATGTTGGCGTACTACATTTAGGAAATTCATATTATCTGTACACTGCTGCTGCAAATCTTGCATTTCTTTTGCATCTATACTTAAAAGGGCCTCTCTTTTAAATATATATATTTTTAAATTCTTTATTTTTGTCGTGCAGGAGATAAAAAAGCGCAGTCGTACGCCACAACAGCGTGCATACACATTTAAACATAAAGTTAACAGTGGCATTAATAGTTCGCACGTTTTTATATTTTAAAAAGAAAAACACATTGTTAACTAGGTAAAAATATACATTAGAGTGTAGCTCATTTGTGTTAGCCACAATAGCTTCGTCAAGATGCCACAACAGTGTAGTTATGCAGACGCGTGCGGGTTAATTAGTGGCTTGAATTTTCATGCATTTTTATATTAGATAACAAGATAACCTCATGAGCAGCCGGTATAGTTCCTGTGAGCCTATCAACTATGCTTATGGAGCAGAAAGGCAATACAGGTTCAGTCGGCTATGTTTCTAACAAAGACAAACATTATCAACAGAAATAAACCTGATCATAATTGGTGGAGCATGTACAATAGGTTGCTGTACGTTACAGCCGACCAACCCTGCACCCACTTTATACGTGGGGGGGGTTAATCGGCATTATGAGGTTGGTCAGGGCATATGCCGAGGGGGCTTAGTGACTATTCAGTGCCTGACCTAGCTGTGGGGGATCGCTGTGTGCTCTCCTTCCATATCATTAACTTGTTAGTTTGTGTAATGTCGATATTAAGCATCGCCACTTCGGCTGGTGCGGTCTAAGCGGAGGCAGTTACATACAATTATGTGGCTTAAGAATATTGCGCCCTTTTGTGTGTTTGGTATAGGGGAATAGTGCTAATCGGTAGGTAATGAGGGCTATTTGTGTTCACGTGTAGATCCCTGAGGGGAGCAGGTAGCTAGAGTGTCCCCCGGGTTCTCATGTAATGTTGTGCGGGGTGGGTGTCGGAGTGGACCTGATAGGTCTATAGCCGGTATCGTGGAGAGTTCTGTGTATTTAATATACATTATTGTTACCAGTCAATCCAGTTATTTATTATTGTACTTGTTTGCACTTAAATTATCTGTAATTAAAAAACAGTTTGTTACAAAGACTGTTTTCCTCTTTGTGTATGTTTAGGTGGGGGGGGGGCGCCACAAGATTAGCTCGCACAGGGCGCTGGAACACCTAAGGCCAGCCCTGTCCAAGCTCATATAGTTGTGACAGTGGGTACAGTGTGATAGTGTATATTTTCAGTGTATATTGCTTATACTGCTAGGTACATTTGTTTTCTATTCTATTCAGCTCCCATTTTCATCTTTCAATAAAGATTATTATTTTCTATCTATATAGCCAAAATTACA